CTCTCGTAAGCAGGTAAGCAGAGTCAACTAGCCAATAATTTACTTACTTCAGCAGTGTTTACATAGTAAATCATCTTAAGAAAGGAGAATATAGCAGATAGTTCGTCGTCAAGTGACTATACCAAGACAGGTAAGCGATTTTGTGGATATGCGGCTGTGTTGGTTGCCGCAGTGGGGTTGCTGATCATGCAAGCAATATTTTCGGGTCCCAGAACCCCTATCCCCGGCCCTATACTACGTCCCAAGCCCCATTTATTCTGTCGTCAATTCGGCTGAACACCAATTCTTTGTTGGATATGGCTACTTACAGCATAGAATATGAGACCCTGTGCATGGGTATCTGTGAAACAACAACACAGGCTGGATGATTGTTCATTACGTACGTCTTCTGAGATTTTTACTCGCCGCTAGGCTTCGAGTTTTCAATGGTTCGATGGCCTGATGTCGTACCGTCACTAGTTGGCCTTACATGTTTTGTACTCTTGGCTATGAATGCAATGTAGTAGTAAGTCTTTTCAAGTCAGCTGTGCCAGACGCCTTGAAGCAGTCCAATGAGAACACGATAGGCAACGTATACAGTAGAACAATGTGAGCTTGCATGAGAGTCATCAAGCTCCATAGTGGCTGAGAGCGCTGGTGCTAAGGTCAAGGTCCACTGTTCTCGCGTCGGTTTCCATCGGTTCCCATGCGTTGTGTAACACAACGGTTTTTGATGGGTGTTACACGACCCATATTGGCTGAACGCTCCTTGCTTGGCACAGCCCAGATAAGATGGTCCGATGGAAGTAAAAAGAAAAAAACATCAAGCTGAAAATGGCAATACTGTCTATTGCGATTCTGAGTGGAGTGGAAAAGAAATAGGAAAGTAAAGTGGTCAGGGACTCCAAAGAAATCTAGGTTTCAGATACACTATTCCGAGCTTTCCATGCAGTCACTTGTTGGTGAAGGGAACATCCAGTTCCGAAAAGATGCTCAGGTCCAAAGTCAACGCCAATGTGCCTCCCAGGGGTATATATCTCGAATGCAACCAAAAGTCCTCATATCTGGACATAATTCGTAAAAGTAACATCACCGATTGCGATCAACGTCTTCAGGTGGAGATCGTTGAAAACCAGTAGTGTTCCGAACAGCGTCGAATCCACGCCATACTACGGTAGAAACAGATGAAGCTAGCTCTCTCAGCGAAGAGACAGGACTTCGATACGAGTCATCCCCCGTCCAACCAGCCTCTACGTCGTCGGTTGGTCGGGGGCTAGTTTGTGCTGATCCTGGCGTCGGTACGGGTCGCGAAGCTGAAGGGGACGTGTCATGACTCTCAGCTGCTTGCGTCTGCACATGTTCACCGCCAGTAGGAGGCTGGGACGAGCGTGTTGGTGACGCTGACTGCAGTTGGTCATGGCGCCAACTCAATGAGCGTACGACATCGCCTTTGCAAATAGGACATGTCCTCCGACGAGTGACGAGCCAAGGAGTACTACATACGTCAAAATGATTCATGGACAAACAAATGATGGAAAACTTACATGCAATCCGCGTGAAACTCGTGGCCACACGGTAAACTCATGACTTGGCTGACGCCATCGACGTACTCTTCCAGACAGACGACACATTCTTTCTGACGCCCGCCATAGCGCCGTCTCCAAGCCGCTAGCCCTGACTCGCGTTTCTCTTGTTCGCGACCACGGGGGCCAGGCTGTACGGACGATGAAGCGCCCGGGACATCAGAATCCGATGAAGAACGTGAACGAGAGTCGAGAGACCTAGATCTAGAGGGCAGGGGTTGAAGTAGAGGGGTGGTTGGAGAATCTGCAGGCAGGCTTGCGGCAGAGGAAGAAGGAGAATCGCTGATGGTTTGATAAGTCCTGACAGGAAGACGCTCAACGACAGATTTGGGCGCCCGCCATCGGCGGCGTCGTATGCGAGATCGAAGAAGAAGCAACACATACACAACAGTCAAAGTAACCAGTGGGCTGACAACAAGCACAAGAAGAGTGTCAAAGAAAGGGCTGCTCGAGACATTCGTCGGAGTAAGCGTGACCCAAAGTTCTTTGTGTTGCGCTTGTGTATTGATGTACTCTTCGCTTGCAGACAACTCGTTTCCATCCGAAATGGCTGCCATAGATGTTGGAGTCGCTGCTTCCTGAGCTCCGTTCGCAGATGTCGGAGGAAGAATATTAGGAACACGCCAATCTTGCTCGCCGATAACAGCGCCGTCCGAAGTCTTTTCAGACATCGAAGAAGTAACCGTGGCCTTTGTCTTTATAAGATTCTCGTCGTCTTCCAAACTCTCCATCTCCAGCCATTCAAGATTGCCAGTACTTGGTGGTCGTCGGCTCCCGGCTTTGGGTGCGTTTTCACTGGAACCAACTCTAAACAAAGCCATGAGCGAGTGCAACCAGCCCGTTTGGGACGTGACAGCTGTTTCTTTGGTGGTCTTCGGGTTGTACTCTTTATCATGAGTTGCAGGCCTCGATTCCTTTGCGGGTTTTTGAGTATATTTTCGAGAATTTTGGGCAGCACCCGTGAGTACACGTTCGTTCGGCATGAGAGAAGATAATAGATGGGCGGTCGTATGCGACGTAAAGAGAGACGGGATAGTGATGTTGGAGGTATCTCCTTTGGCGTACATCCTGACGAGCGCGCCGCCGCGAACATCATCACCCACAATGACAGCTATCCCACCACGCGACTGTGCCCACTGCACTTTGGCCAAGAAACCACAGCCCCCTCGTTTGAGGAGCACAATCTTGCCTGTGATCTCTGCACTCTCTTGAATTGATTGGATATCAGCGTGAAGGCCTCCTGACTGTGCGTGCGCCTTGGAGCCATGGGGCTGCAAATGATCGTCTGTACCATCATCGGTCACGACGTCATCAGAGGAATCGCGTCCACTGTCGGAAACTCCATCCTTCGGGGTAACATCCTTGCCCAACATGGTGTTCCTGAGTTTGTTTCTGGTGTTTGCGGTCATCTGCGGAGTGGAAATAAATCCATCGCCGTCGTCGTGCCAGCCAGGCACATCGCTGCAGCCCAACTCGCCCTCCACACCTATGGTATCATCGTCGAAGCCGCTACCAATCCACAGAGCACCGCTCAAGCCTTCTTTAGGCAGCAAAGGACCGAATGCGGCGGGTCGAGCGAGAAAGAAGGTCGAGTTATCGTCGGTCAGGCTAATAATGGCAGACGGCGGAAATAGCGAACCTGGTGAAGCAAACGAGAACAAGGCCTTGAAGCCGCCGGGACTTGAAGTGGATGATATACTCCCCTGCTCAGCATCTACAGAATTTCCCAAAACCATATACAGGACGATGGTGAAGGCCGCAAGGCTCGTGGAGAGCGACACTATCAAGCGCAGTGGTCGCATGCTTGCGGTAGTTGTCGGATAGACGCAAGCTCGGAGGGAAAAAAAGCAGCAGCACGCGCTGGAAATCTAGCAGAGGAAATTCATGGACTGATATAAGTCAACTGGGCGTGGTGTGATCTCTGTTGACTGTCACGAGGCGCAAGTTGAGGGTGGGGAGCGTGAACTACTGGATGACGCGGTACCAGCAGTGGCGGGGAGACTGGGCCACTTTGTGCAGTCGGGACCGGGAGAAGAATCAACGCACAAGGAAGAGAAAGAAAAAAGTGAACAGGAAGCGACACAGTGGATACGTGAAATATAGGCAAGGCGGCTAGCGAAGAGCCGAAAGGCACCGTTTGATGGATCGCAGGCGGATGCTAACAGCAGCCCAACATGATGTCGCAATGGATTGGGGAAGGCGCTAGGGGGATCGGTCACGGGCGCATGTGAAGATCGCGCCCCTCAAGGCTAGAGCTTGAACCAACCAAAATGAAGATCCAAGACCAGTGCAACTAAACGTTCTACTTTTTCTTCTACTTTAGCTTATGTTTGTAATTATGCATTATTGTATAACCAGCTAGATTTTTCAAAACATTTTCTTTGAGAATAACGCCGAGAAAAACTAGTACTTTACTCTCTTAGGATATCAAATTATCTTAGTACCACGAGAGCCTGAGTACTACATGGATGCAGCTTAATATGGATTATTCTTGCATCTAGCATGCATCTTGCACTAAATGTGTCACAATACTCGAAATTTAGCCCAGGAAGGGCAACTCTCAGAGACCCGTCGGGGACCCCTTCGGCCAGAAGGGCCATAGTCACGTGCGCAGAGTACATAGCTCCCATCCGAACCTCGGGCAACTCCACAAAAATTCGGGTTAATTCAACTCTAACTGAGGTATTCATGGCTACCCGCGAAACACTTCAAGAAATGACTAATGATATGCTAGTGCTGTTGCAAGGCAAGGTTTGCTCGATGTTGAGTAAGCATTATGCGAATCATAATAGATCTTGGTTTCGGCATATCCAGCTGCAAACTACACCCACTGTCGTGAGTTTAGCTCCAACACTTGCTGCGATATATTTGTGCGCAAAGCAAAGTTATGTGTTTTCCCTTTTGGTAATCGCTCTTACTGCAACACGTCATTAAACCTAATTATCAAGTATCGACGGCACGTTTTTCGCATCATATGATAGTAAGCAGGGATGGAGCAACCGAGACGGATTGTCAAGGCGATCACAGATACCCCCTAAATATTTCATCGAAGTACCCTAGAGCAATACAGCAAAATACAGAGCGTGGCGTCTTATTGGTGGCCGCTGTTCCTAATTCCAAAAGGCACACTACATCGCAAAGATGCGTTGTCGCACATGTCGCTGCGTTCGAGGCGGCAAATATCCACAGGCAATTGAGTTTGGAGATACGAACATACTTTACACGGATTTTGGTAACTCCGCATCATGCGGTCGAGTGCAGCATGTCGGTGTGTGATCAGTCAGTGCTGTGTTGTGCAATATATAACTGCTTCTCTTGCCTGCTTCTTCTATCTTAATCGTTTACACTATCAATGCCGTGTTACAAGTTTTTCAAGCAAATCAATTCGACATGCATCTTGCGATGAAAAAAGGTCAGAGCACTCTTTTGCTCTTGTCCATGGCGCACTACGTAGCAGCAAGCAAGTTGCAAGACAGAGGCGTTGATCTACCTGTTGCCGAACACGTTATTCCTATTCGCGGTCTATCTTCTTCTTCTTCTTCTCAGCTCTCTGGCCGAGATCAACTTCTCTCAAGCAGGGACATAACTGTTTCAGAGCACATTACTGGCTTGCGTAATGCCCGCGATATCTTTGGGGTCGACGTCCAGGTTGGAGACGAAGTGTCTACTCTCATTTTCAACACAGGAGTTCCGTTTACGTTGGTCTTTGCGCCAGGGTTTCAATGCTTAGACGTCGACGGGAACAAGTTGTAAGCCCACTAAGTCCCCTAAGTCCCCTAAGCTCCCTAAGCTGGCAGATACCTCTACGCACTACATCTGACTAATTACTATACAGCGCGTCGGGTGCGTGCCCATTCACTGCCCACGATACCGCCAGTTTCTCCGGAGGCAGGATCGATGGTCCAATTCTGAACCTTACCTATGGAGATGGAACTGGTGCTTCAGGCCCGCGAGGTTACGAGAAAGTCGGTTTGGCTGGTATTCATGTTGACCGACAGGAGATAGCCATTTGTGACCACGCTGTAGAACAAAATTGGACAACAAAGCCACTAGGTGGTTTCGCGGGTCTGTCACGCACTACTTAGAGTTTCTTTGATGCGTATACTAACTGTCTTGACTGTTCACAGGGTTCTCATTTCCAAATACCGATACTCAGAAGCTAAAGGCGAACTACTCATATGTGAGCATTCTACTCTTCAGAACCAGCAGTTGGCCTGCTTTGTTGACCTATATCATAGACACCGTGGATTTTCACTGCTTATGAGCAGGGTTTAATTAATCCGCCCGTTTTCTCTGTCGCTCTAAATCCTGTTTACAAGGACTCAGTCGACTTTGCCAACAATGGCGCGCTAGCTATCGGTGGCCTGCCACCCAACGTACCAACCGCTGGATCATGGGCGATCACACCAGTGGTTAGCGATTTTGCGGACGAGGTGATACGATACTGGACCATAATACCGGATGGCTTTACAGTCAAGTCAAAAGAGTTGGTATTCCCAAAGAGTGCATTGAGGTTCCCTTTGAGCTAACTTGTTTAAAAAAAGGAATCCTCTTGGCAAGTTTGTGCCATGGACTGAACAAGCGAAATACATTCCTGGACTTCGTCGATTGCAGGTTGTCACCAGTGTTTGGGGCGTTATCCTTCCAAAAGCATATGTCGACGAGATCTACAAATCCATTGATCCAGCCCCTTACCAAGCAAAGGACGGGAGTTGGGTGGCCAACTGCAATGTGCGTGTGTATAAATGAACGAAACCTAGGCGCTAACATAGATTTTAGGCAGCTTATGCGGGCGCGAGTGTACGGATTGGAGGTGTGGATCTTTTCCTCGATCGTGCCACAGTTATAACTTCACAGTTTGGAGATGATCTTGAACCGGGTCAGTGCTCCCTTGGTGTATATGCAGGTAGCTACTTCCTTGGAGCCAATTTTCTCAGGAGTGTTGTAGCAGTGCATGATATGACTAAAGGGAACGAAAGAATGCTATTTAAGCAGCGGGTGTTTCAAAACTAAGTTGCGACAAAGTGATTAAGAAAGGTTAGGTTCTAACAGCTATAATATAAAGAATCTCTACTATAACCAGGAGTTATAGTATATAATTATTATATTAAACGTAAGTTCTCTATAATAGTTAAATATAGTAATCTAGGATTTTATATAACTAGTAGTTAAACAATAAGAAATCAAGAAAGCTTCTTTGATACTAAAAGTCAAAACCTTTTCTATAAATTAGAAGTTTAAAGAAAATTTCATTTGAATACAGGAGTAGTCTTTAGAATTAGTCCTTTGAATTTTGAAGTTACCTTTTTTTTAGAAAGGGAGAGAGGGTTAAACTCTTATTCTTGCAAATTTCTTAGTATTGCGTCAAAAAAATTTTGGTATCTGGAAGAAAACCTACTGCGCCACCTCTTCTTATTAGACATAAACGATGTAAGAGTGCCCTTTCTTCGCCTTGTTTGAAACTGCCTTTAGGATGCCATCGTAGCATCAACATGGCTACTTACGCAGCAAGCGCCGCCTCCAAAGCAGGTAGTGATTACAGGCACTTTGGACGTACCTGCCGACTTCATTATTTATCGGTGGCCTTTTCTCCTCTAGTTCCTTTCCTGTTTCACTATTTAATCCCACCTCTCACTCGTCCAGTTCATCCTTCAACATTAACGCCAACCAACTTATACAATCATTTGCGATCCCTTCTTCCAGCTCTACTACCACCACACCTAGGTCATCAATTTAACGCCTTGCTAATTCCCTTTCCTCCCCAAATTTTCTTGAAAGCATACGCCTCACAGTCACACAACCATGTCATTCGCCGCGACAAGGTATTCAGTAGGCCCAACCTCCTCAGGAGAGCGACAACATAGCCTTCTGAGGCTTCCCGACAATACCCGCCACCTGCTGATCGCGTTTCTGGGCGAGCTAGTCGGCACATTTCTCTTTCTGTTCTTCGCCTTTGCCGGCACCCAAGTTGCAAACAATGTCCGAAAGATCAGCGGCAATTCAAACATGGATCTAGCGTCATTGATGTACATCTCTCTCGCCTTTGGGTTCTCACTAGCCGTCACTGTTTGGGTCTTCTTTCGCATCAGCGGAGGCTTGTTCAATCCTGCTGTACGTATTACCTTCTTGCTCTGAGCTGAATCACGTCACTGACACTGCCTAGGTGACAGTCGCCTTGGCCCTTGCCGGAGCAATTGGGTTCATCAAAGCTTTGTTGCTTATCGTTTCACAGTTCCTCGGTGCCATTATCGCTGCAGCTATAGTCTCTGGGCTCTTCCCTGGACCTTTGGCCGTCGAAACAACCCTCAGTCCTGGGACCTCGGTGACAAGAGGCTTGTTTATGGAAATGTTCCTCACATTCATGCTTCTTCTTACCATATTCATGCTAGCGGCAGAGAAGCACAGAGCGACTTTCCTCGCCCCGCTTGTCATTGGGCTCGCGCTTTTCATTGCTGAGCTTGCCGGCGTATACTTCACTGGGGCCTCCTTAAATCCTGCTCGTTCCTTCGGGCCTGCTGTCATTACGGGTGTATGGCCTGGCCATCACTGGATCTACTGGCTTGGACCTTTGCTCGGCGCCTTGCTGGCAGTAGGCTTCTACAAGTTGCTCACGCTGCTCAATTACTCGACTGCGAACCCAGGTGCCGACAGCGATGGTCTTGAGAAGCACCGCAGCCACAGGGTGGACAGCAATGCAGCGCGTCACGACACTACTCACAACAGTATGTCACCAAAGTTATTTTTTTGAAGTATGATCTGACCTCTCTACAGCTCGATATGCCGCTACCGATGGAACAGAAGAGCGAGATATTGCGAGCCAAGCACAACTTAGCGGAAGACAGCCTAGGCCTTCTGCTACATGGCCTTCAGTGCCGACTTTAGCATACATGCAGGCGCTCGATGGCCATCATTCTGAGACGATCGACCATCCCAATGACCGCCCGCGTGCGCATTACACGCATAGCTCTTCAGGTTGCGAGATATCATCAGATTCGAGCTATCGCAGCGGCCCAAGTGCAGAGTCTGGCAGCTTGGGATCGTAGACTGGCTCGTCAGCTAGCTCAAGTTCACGATATCGTCGGTCGCCGAGCGCACCAGATGGCGAGTCGTCGAAGAAGGGGAGCATCCTCGACGACGTGCTGTATTCGGCATGTTGTTACCTACCATATTTTATACTTCAGTCTTGCTTCTGTCCACACAAGTAGGTGAAAATCAGTAGGGAAAGCTGTTTTGATAGCCTAGTGGGTGTTGGAAGGGTGTGGGATTGTGTCTGGTCCGTTGTATGGTGCAAGCTCTCTAACGCCTTTCCTCATGTCAGTTTCTTACGGCATTGTAGAGTAGGAAATGACACAATTTCTTCCAAGAAGGATGCTCTGTTGGTTGCTTCGATAATTTAGAGAGTTATGCTCCCAGATTTTTTCTCATTGTCTGTTCAAATGTAGTGTGAGGACCAAAATTCGATGACAATGCTAAAGAGAAAGTTCACATCCCGAAGGTGTGGGAATATCCGCCAAGCCAATCAACGTCCCAATATGGATTAGCGCGACGCGTCGACGCGTTCCCTATCGCCCCAGAGTCCGGCAGTTCATGAATACCGCCATCTCACTGCCGTTGCCATTGCTCTCCTCAACACTTGCCATAGTACAAGCAAAATGGCTCGCGGTGTCGAAGGAAACGAAATGTCAACGCCCCGCCCATCCCAAAAGAAGCAACCTTCCTCAGTCTCCCAGTCAGGGAAGGGCCAGAAATCCATTCTCGGCTTCTTCCAGAAGAAAACTACCAATTCACCAAGCCCCGCACCGTCTGGTGTCACACCGGACCAAAAAACGCCCACTTCCAAAATCGCCTCCAAGGCCTTTACAAAGCCTTCTGCTGCCATCACGCCGGTTCCCAGCAGCGATGCTCCAGACTACTCAAGTCCTATCAAACAAGACCAAGAGCTCACAGTAGGGCGGAACAAGGAGAATGGTTCGTCTTTGCTTGTCAGACAGCTATGTTCATTCACTGAGCAATATTTCCAGAAATAGCAGATGTTACTCCTAGTAGTCCAACACGTAAAGTATGCCGACACGCCATTGTATGCTCAATATACATTATCCTAACTTTCACGGTAGGCTAGAAAACCCGTCAATTACGCCGAATCCGACGATGAAGATGACGATGTACTCGGACCTATCGCAAACAATGCGAGGGGTCGGGCTACAAAGCGCCAGCGAATGGTTGTCGACGACGATTCCGACGATGAGTTTGGTTTGGACGCTGCCACGCAGAGAGCAATGCTGGAAGAGGAAGAGGAAGACGGTGATGTTGATGATTTCATCGTACCCGATGATTCTGAAGAAGAAGTCGTATCGAAGAAGCGCAAACGCCCAACATCTACAAAGCCACGCACCAAAGCCTCACCGGCATCATCACCACCACCTATTGTCAATGACAATGATGTCGAGGATGAAGCAGACATCGTAATGAATAGCACATCTACAGCACAACAATGGATATACGATCCCGAGAATCCCACGGTATTCAAGCCACGAAAAGCGGTTCCTTCTTTGAAGAAAGAACTAAGCGTAAGAGCCAAAGCGAAGCCCTCTGCTTCAGAGCCTGAGGCAAGATACCCATGGCTAGCGAACATGCAAGACGCCGACCGCCATCCACCCGACCATCCTGACTACGATCCCCGTACCTTGTTCATCCCGCCAGCTGCCTGGCGTGAATTTTCGCCTTTTGAAAAGCAGTACTGGGAGATCAAGAGCAAGTGGTGGGACACTATAGTTTTCTTCAAGAAAGGAAAGTTTTACGAGCTCTACGAGAAAGATGCATCGATCGGCCACCAGCTCTTTGATCTCAAGCTGACTGATCGTGTCAACATGAGGATGGTGGGTGTTCCAGAAGCCTCGTTGGATATGTGGGCAACACAGTTTGTGGCGGCTGGGTACAAAGTCGCTAGGGTTGACCAGATGGAATCCGCTTTGGGCAAAGAGATGCGCGAACGTGACGATAAGGGCAAAACTCCAAAGAAAGCTGAGAAGAAAGGCAAGGAAGTCATTCGCCGAGAACTGGCCACTGTTCTAACATCAGGTACCCTTGTGGACACTGGCATGCTCCAGAGCGAAATGTCGACTTACTGCATGGCGATCAAAGAGATTGACCGTGACAATTTGCCCGCTTTCGGAATTGCGTTTGTTGACACTGCGACGGCGCAGTTTCAGCTTTGTGAGTTTACAGATGACATTGACATGACCAAATTCGAAACTCTCATTGCGCAAATGAGGCCCGGCGAGTTGCTCTTAGAAAAGTCGTGTGTTTCAGCAAAGGCGCTTCGTATTCTGAAGAACAACACTGGACCAACCACCATCTGGAACTGGCTGAAGCTGAACAAAGAATTCTGGCCAGCCGATATCACGATCCGAGAAATCGAAGTCAACAGTTACTTCGAGTCGCCAACAGAAGACAACATCGAAGCCTGGCCACCGGTGCTTCGCGAAGCCCGCGAAAAAGAACTTGTCATGTCCGCATTCGGTGCCCTCCTCCAGTATCTGCGAACATTGATGATTGAGCGCGATCTTGTTACGCTCGGCAACTTCCAGTGGTACGATCCCATTCGCAAAGCGACAAGCTTGGTGCTCGACGGACAGAGCTTGATCAATCTGGAAATCTTTGCAAATACGTTTGATGGAGCGACAGAGGGCACATTGTTCGCTATGTTGAATCGCTGCATCACACCGTTTGGCAAGCGACTACTCCGACAATGGGTTTGTCATCCACTGGCAGACGCACAAAAGATCAACGCTCGCCTTGACGCTGTAGATGCGCTGAATAAGGACTCAGCCATTGTGGAGAACTTCAGCGGCTCACTGAGTAAGCTCCCAGATCTTGAGCGTCTTATCTCCCGCGTGCACGCTGGCCGGTGCAAGGCACAAGACTTCCTGAAGGTCTTGGAAGGTTTCGAGCAGATTGAGTACACCATCAGTTTGCTGAAGCAGTTCAGCGAAGGAGAGGGCGTCATTGGCCAGCTCATCTCATCGATGCCGGATCTAGCTGCATGTCTCGAGAAGTGGAAGTCTGCTTTTGACCGTGAAGCAGCCAGGAAAGATGGAATTCTGATCCCTGAAGCTGGTGTTGAGGAAGACTATGATAATAGTCAGGCGGATATTGATAGTTGCGAGGCCAATCTCGAGACGCTGTTGAAGAAGGTGCGCAAAGAACAGGGCTCGAATGCAATCATCTACAATCACCTCGGAAAAGAGATTTATCAACTGGAAGTGCCGAAGAAGGTCAAGGTGCCCAATAGCTGGGATCAAATGTCGGCCACAGCCAAGGTCACTCGCTATTACACGCCCGAGTTGCGGAAGCTGGTGCGAGCATTGCAAGAAGCGCAAGAGACTCATGGTCAAATCACTCGCGAGGTTGCCACTCGCTTCTGCCAGCGCTTTGACGAGGACTACAAGATTTGGCTTGCAGCAGTCAAGATCATTGCTCAGCTCGACTGCCTCATTAGTCTTGCAAAGGCATCTGCGTCGCTGGGAGAGCCAAGTTGCCGACCCGTCTTCGTGGAGGGCGAACGAACCATTGTTGAGTTCGAGGAGCTTCGCCACCCGTGCATGCTCAACACAGTCGATGACTTTATCCCCAATGATATTAAGCTGGGCGGTGACGCGGCCAACATTAGCCTGCTCACGGGTGCCAACGCAGCTGGTAAATCAACCATCCTGCGTATGACATGCATAGCTGTTATCCTCGCCCAAGTGGGTTGCTACTTGCCGTGTACATCGGCCAGACTCACACCCGTCGACCGCATCATGTCTCGTCTAGGCGCCAACGACAACATCTTCGCAGCACAATCCACCTTCTTCGTAGAACTGTCTGAAACACAAAAGATTCTGTCAGAAGCAACATCACGATCGTTGGTCATCCTGGACGAACTGGGCCGTGGCACCTCATCCTACGACGGCGTGGCAGTCGCACAGGCTGTGCTACACGATGTTGCAACGAGGGTGGGCTGCGTGGGCTTCTTCGCTACGCATTACCGGTCGCTCGCCAAGGAGTTTGAATTCCACCCCGAAGTCCAGAATAAGCGGATGCGTATCCATGTTGATGATGAGTCTAAATCGATTACCTTCTTGTACAAACTTGAAGAGGGCGTTGCAGAGGGCAGCTTTGGTATGCACTGTGCTGCCATGTGTGGTATCCCAAGCAAGGTCATTGAGAATGCGGAGAAGGCGGCCAAGGAGTGGGAGCATACGAGTAGGCTGGGTGAGAGGATGGAGGTGAAGAAGGATGAGGGTGGTGTGTATGTGCCACTGGGTTTGCAGAGTGATGTTGCGTGGGCGTTGCGAGAGGGGTTGGAAGGAGTGGGAGAACGAGCGATGGATGTGCTGCTCGAAGCTATTGCTGCGCTTTGAGTTGTGGGAGGAGTTTGTTAATTTCGTGTAAGATGGAGCAAGCGGGCGTCATGTAGTGTCAAGGTGATGGGTGGGTTGTACATGTAAATTGTGGGTTGTATTTTTAGCGATTGAGCATTTCTTCCTCTTCTATGGGTTAGTAGATAAATCAAGGCAAGGATGTTTGGTGTACATTAGACATGCATCATCGTCGTATTAGCGACACCTTGTAGTAGTGCGTCACTAGAATGATATCTATACTGGATATATTCACTTCCTTGTGCAACAAGGGTATGAAGCATTTTCTACCTAACCCACCTCCATCCTCCCATGATGCTCCTCAAACACAATGCCTGAAGAATTCCTCCCTCCGTATCCCTCATACTACCCCGTCTTTGTTCGTGGTTGCAAGTAAACAGACTTGCATGAGAGAACTTCAGTTCCCACCACTACCGCGAACAGCATACGTCTTGATTCCACTCAAAAACCCATAATCCTCCATCTCCTCCTCCTTCTTGACACCAGGGACATTGCACTCAATGACCTCGTCGTCATCCTCGACATCGTCCTCCTCGCGCATCGGCATCTTGCCTTTCTTGCTGGGCGTCGCATCTGCCGCCGCGGCAGTGTTCTTGCGCTTGCGGGGTGTAGAGGTGGGGGTAGCAGCTTTCTTCTTGGGCGTGGGCTTGGAGGGTGTGCCGGGCATGCTGGGCGTGTCTTGGAGAGACTGACCGAGGAGCTTGAGTTTGGATTTGATCTTGCCGAAAGTGACGCTGGCACTCGCGGTAGTGTAGCCGGCGAGGGAGCCGAGTTTGACCATGTCGATCTGGGGTTGTGTCAGTGAATTGCAGGGAGGGATGGAGGTATGTACCTTGGGCTGGGTTTCCATGCACTGCCATGCGAGGGCGAGGACTTCCATCTCGCGCGGAGAGAAGCTGACTTCTTTGGAGTTGGAGGGTGCCATGGTTAGCAGTGTTGATGGTGGTGTTGGTGTTGTCTTGTAGATGTCACGAAGGTTCTAGGTAGAGGAGATGTTGTACGAAAGTAGTGGAAGGTTTAGGCAAGTGAATGAAGAGGGCGATAAAGTCTTTATATGCTGATGCACAGGACGCTAACGAGTCACCAAGTGAGAGGTGAGGCTGAATTAAGCGTGCTTAGTACTCACAGTAAGAGCGTGCAGGAAAACCTAAAGAGGGCTAAAGAGGCACGTTCACCTCACTTTTACGCATGTTTGTCAGGCAGCGAGGAACTATGTAGAAGAGTGAGAGTGATTGATTAGTAGCACGCAAGATGATCCCGGGTATGTATGGAACAGTGATTTTATTTTATTGTCGCAAGTGCAATTTGCACTGCATGCCATGTGGCATAGTAATGTTATTATATTCGGCGAACCTCTTTGCCTTGAAGCTCCGGTCTCTGCACGTCAAGCTCATCTCTTAGAGCTGCATACAAGGAGTCACCCAGGATGATGGAAAGGCCCAAACTCCAGACCAAGGTGATGGCATAAAAGAAGTTGGCATTGCCCGAACCGGCATATACCCACAGATGGTAGAATGCAGGGCCAAGGAATGATGTGTAGAGAATACTGGCTGATGCAAGGAAAGTGTAACGCATGACTAGGGTTCAGTCAGTATGATGGGCACGTGTCATGTGGAGTAAGATACTTACGAGGGAACAAATGTCGGAACATAGGCACCAAGGACAGATACAAGGCAGCATCGGCTATGCTTGGGTATGGGGTGAAGATGGCAAAAACTCCTGTCAATGAGCAAGCAACAAACAAGGGCTGCTTATGGAGGCGGATAGTCAAGCCTGGCATGTACGAGGCGGCATGTAGCCAGAAGACGCCTAGGAAGAACTCGCGGAAAGAGTCAAACATTTCAATGAAAAAGTACCACCAGAGACCAACATTGGGAGTCAGATCTGGTAGCAAAAGACGCACACCATACGTGGCAGCCAAAAAGTCCCATGAGCCGGTCAAGAAAGCAGAGCCAACCAGTAAGGCGCCAATTACGATTGCGAGACCGAGTGTGTGTACGATGACAAACGTGGGGATATTTGGGGTCGACTTTTTCTTGAGGGCTTTTGCATCGTACAGCAGGACCATCAGGGGCGGGAAGAGCAGAACGGGATGCATGGCAAGGTACGAGGCAAAGGCCGTGGCCAGAATGAATGTAAAGCTGGCGCCCTGAGAAGCCTTTGCCATGGCAGTGAGGACGAAAAGGTTGGTCAGGGCTGAGGTTGAGCGGGCAAGACATGTTGCGACGGTAAAGGGATTGAATAAGAAACTGATGGATATGTCAGCACAGGGGCCGTGAAGGGGAGGCATAGGCAGTACCCAGCTGCAATGGCAGCACTACTCCACCTCAGGTCCTTGCGCGGGGAAGCAAATAGTCGCGTGACCGAGGCGAAGCCCGTGTCTGCCAGCTGGGCTAATGAATGCGCGCTCAGCAGGTCGACAAGGGTGAAAAAGACGTAGGTCGCAAGAGGGGCTACGGCGGGATGGGACAGCAGGGCAAAGAGCGGCAGCAGGAGGGGCGCCTGGTGGTAGACGCCGCCATCGTAGGGCGATACATTATGCGTGTAGAGGAAGAGGCCTTCTTGGACTATGTGGTGTTAGCAATGGCAGAGGGATGTTGAGGTATACATGGCAGGACATACGCCGCTTGAAGCTTGTCACCGGGGTAGAGACCTCGACGCGGCCGGCCAGGACGTCGGGCAGGGTGGGGAAGAGGGTGAAGAGGAGCAGACGAACGGCAGCAGCAGCGCCGAAGAGCAGCAGGCGGTGCTGGCTGTCAATGGCCATGGCTTGAGTCGCAGCCGACGTGGTGTTGTGGCAGGATATCTATCTATCTACATATGTCGTCGGTAGTAGGATGCATGGCGGCGGGCCCTTGTCGCCGCTAACGCCGCAATCCCTGTCTACTAGCCGCTGCATCTCGAACTTTTTTGCGCCCGCCCAAAAGTTGCTCGCCTGGCACCGACACAAACTGCGATAACTTTACAACCACTGCGACTCATTATGGCCGGGCGCAGCAAAAAGAAGGGTCAGTATCTGCCATTGTCGCTTGATTGAAGAAACGAAGATGCTGACTCAACCCACACAGGCACCTCCGGGGCCGCCAAAAACTACATCACTCGCACGCGCGCCGTCAAGAAGCTCCAGATTTCCCTTCCAGATTTCCGCCGGCTATGTATCTTCAAGGGCATCTACCCCCGTGAGCCGCGCAATAAGAAAAAGGTCTCACGCGGCTCCACAGCTGCTACCACCTTCTACTACACAAAGGACATCCAGTACTTGCTCCATGAGCCGCTGCTGGCAAAGTTCCGCGAGCACAAGGCTGTCGCAAAGAAGATTGGCCGCGCCCTCGGCCGTGGCGAAGCCGGCGATGCCTCGCGCCTCGAGAAGAACCTTATGCCCAAGGTCAAGCTTGACCACATCATCAAGGAGCGATACCCCACCTTTGTCGACGCCCTGCGCGACCTCGACGACGCTCTGTCCATGCTGTTCCTCTTCGCCAACTTGCCCTCGAGCGACCACATTCCCGCAAAGACAATTGCCCTTTGCCAGCGCCTAACACGCGAATTTGAGCACTACGTAATCACTTCGCACTCGCTGCGGAAGTCGTTCCTTTCTATCAAGGGTATCTACTACCAGGCTACCATCCAGGGCCAGGACATTATGTGGCTCGTTCCCTACCGCTTTGTCCAGCGCACTGGAGGAGATATTGACTTCCGTATCATGGGTACCTTTGTCGAGTTCTACACTACCCTCCTCGGCTTCGTCAACTACCGCCTATACACCTCCGTCGGCCTCGTCTACCCACCAAAGTTCAATGCCAAGAGCGACGAGCAAGGTGGCGAGCTGTCTGCCTTCCAGCTCGAAGGCAAGGTCAATGCCACAAACGGCACCGCCAATGGTCATGCCGAGCGTGCAGACATCAACCCAGAGGCACAGGCAATCGCCGACAAGCTTGCTGCTATGCCCGACGATGAGGATGCTCAAGAATCAACAGCCCTAGCCAAACGCAGTGAAGACGATGAGGAGGAGGCCAACGATGAGATTGACAAGTTCGAGCCAACTGCGCCTGACGCCGATATTCTGCCCCAGCCGCAAGCAAGCAGTGCCGAGGTTGCTTCGCTGTTCGCTCCCTTTACCTTTTACCTCTCGCGAGAGACACCCAGAGCGCCGCTCGAGTTTATCCTCAAGGCCTTTGGTTGTAAGCGCGTTGGTTGGGACGGCACTCTCGGCGACGGCGCATTCACCACCAACGAATCCGATCCCAACATCACACATCAGATTGTTGACCGACCAGCGTTATCAAACGGAGCGTCTGCACAAGACAGCAAGAATGGCGACGCTTCTGCCCCTAAGGCCCAATGGCCCTATTCCATGATGCCTGGTCGCACCTATGTCCAGCCGCAATGGGTCTGGGACTGCATCAACCAGAGCAAGCTGCTGCGCCCCGACCACTACGCCCCCGGTGCCGATCTACCCCCGCATCTGAGCCCATGGGTGAAGCCCAAGAAGGGCGAGTACGACCCCAACTTGCCTCTTGCAGCCCAGCAGCCCGAAGGCGAGGCCGAGGCATTCGAAGACGAGGATGAAGAAGAAGATGCCGCCGTGGATTCAGATGGTGACGAAAACATGGATGCCATTGTCGACCGCGACGGTTCCGTTGAGATTGGAGAGGGCATGGATGTGGCCGATTCTGAAGACGACAGCGATGACGACTCGGACGATGATGCCGGCGCTGCTGACGACTTTGACGGCTTCGACTCAGATGCCGAGTCGGATATTTCCGAGGGCGAGGCTGCCCGTCTTCAACACCAACGTGAACTTGAGGCTGAAGCGCTAGGCAAGAAACTCGAGGTCAAGAAACCAACAAAGAAGGAGGAGAATGCGGCCATCCGCAAAAAGGCCGAGAAGAAGAAGCGTGAGCAAGAGGAAGAGCGCGAGAGGCAAAAGATGATGTTGTCAAACAAGAAGCGCAAGCTGTTGAAGCGCATTGAGTACGGTGAGAACAAGCGCGATAATGAATCCGAGAACCTGCGCAGGAAGCGCGCGAGGGTTGAAAAGGCCAAGGCAGCTGCGGAGGCACTGTAGGCGTATGCATATCTACATGACAGCAAAAGCAGGGCAGGTTGGCGTTGATTGGGACGGTGTTGTAGGCGCTCTACGTATTTCAAGTACTCTATGTAGTCGATTTAAAATACCACCATATGACTGTTGTCTACGGTTGTTATCGTCTGCATGTTGACTTGAGATAGTTGGGAACGCCATTTCTATGCAGCGCACAGACCATTTTGCCAAAGGGCGCAGTTCGTTCGTAACCCAGACATGCGATCACTAGACGCCTGATGAGTCAAACTATCAAGAGCTGTGATATCTATAAGTGCATGCCCTTTGTATCGTCTTGGTTCTTCCTCTAATTACTACCTAGCCCATACTACCCGAATCAACAACATGTAGTAGTCTCGAAGTTCGCGAATCACTTACACCATAGCTATACCCTGTCAAACCGCATCCACCCTGAACCCTGAACGAACCAAGGTTCACATATATCAGTACCATGTAGCTTTCTACTTGATGTGCAGCATCTCTGCATGGCAGCGACCAGATAACACAACTCTCTTCTGTGCTCTCGGCCAACAAAAAAATTGCCGTATGCAAAAAGTGTCGGTATATTAAAGAGCCGCGTCACTCGTCAAACGCGCATAGTACAGTCGAGCTCCACCATCGTCGCCGCTTCCTAAAACCGCAAGGTGCCGAGCCGCTGCCGGGGGGAACCACTCCGGAAAAATTGCTCAACAACAAATTTTCTAGACTGCATTTTGCAGTTTCAAACATATTCACTCTCAGAGGTACATGAGATATCCTTCAGACATGCCAGAAATGCTGCTGACATTTTGTGAGCCGTGCGGCTTCTTCCTGTATTCACCCCGGGCAACAGGCAACTCCGTCACGTGATTGGTCACTCACCGCACGGCTATTGTTGTATACAACGAACAATAGGTTGTACTCGAACTGTTCATCTTGGAATAATCCTACGAGTTTCAAGTCCAGACAACCGGCGCGAGTTTCGTAGTCAGCACTATCAACTCGACAATTCGCCTCACACTTTCCATCCTCACCAAACCGCCTTTTTACTTCGAAGGAGAACGTAATCGACATAAACAAAAAAATGCCTTCAACACCCCAACCACTCTTCCCGGATCTTCCCCCCGAACTCCGCAACGAAATCTACACCTACCTCTCTTCCCCAAGCCCAGATTCTCAAACTCTAAATTCGCACCTCCCCCTCCCCCTCAAAACCTTCACCTGCAAACACACAACCATGCACCTCTGCCCCACCCACCACGGCTCCACCAGCCTGCTCTCCCTGTCCTCCCCAGAAGCCCACGAATACGGCTCGTGGCTCCTCAACAACGGAATCGCCCTCCACATAACCATTCACTTCAAAGGCCGCGTAAACACCTTTACGCTCCCTCACTGGTCCAAAAAGATATCCACTCACTTGCAAAAACTGGCGCGCCGTCACCCTTGGTTGGCCAAAGTGGCACGGTACGAGATAGATGTGATGTGGGATCCGCTCGACGGCGCACTCCAGAGTCGACACCAGAAACAGCGGGCAGCGCATGTACCGCTGGATATGGCTGAGGCGCTTACGCAGCTTATGCAGAGGGATGTTGGGGCTAAGCAGGGGAGTGTGGTGCTACGGGTGCATTTTGAGCAGAGATTTGCGGTGCTGAACGCGCTTGCGGCGAGGAAGTTTGGGGTTGGGGTTTTTCTGAGGGATGGAGAGAGGTTGAGGGGATTTAGGAGAGTGGTGAGGGAGGTGCGGATAGTGCCGTCCAAGGTTGGACTGGAGAGGGACATGGGAGATGCGCCTGCGCCTGGGTTGCGGGTTGTGCCATCGGCGGGACAGGAGGAGGAGGCGCTCATGGTTGTGGAGGAGGGGGTGATGAAGTTGTCGGAGCGGACGCGGGGGCAGATGGTTGTGAGGAGGAGGACGAGCGGTGTGGCGGATGGAGTGTGGGAGTATGGGAGGGGGGAGATGGAATTTCCCGTTTGTCAGATATTGGAAGAGTGTATGGAGTGAGGAAATGGTTTGGCTTGAGATTCAATTACCCCTAAAAACGGCGATGTTATCGAAATATTGATAGTGCTTCATGATAAATACACTATTTCTTTTCGTTCAAGAGATAACGCACCAAGCCAGATTGTCCTGTACACCATTCCATCAACACACATCCCCACCAACCTTACTACCCTCATCCTATTCCTTCCCCTCTCCATCCTCATTCTACCCCCAACATCCCCCACACCAACACCTTACGCCCAAGCCCCCACCAAACTCATCAAAAACGCGCCGACAAACACCAACAAACAAGCATACACCCTGCGCTTGCCCCTAAGCACCTTCCAACTCTCATCGCTCAGGAAATCCTCCGACATGAGTTCAACCAGCGACGCATAAACCAGGAAACCCGCAGATATAGCATTCATGATGCCAACCACAAGAAGTCCAATTTCCGAGTCGGGCGAGTAAAGCGTGTGGGTTGCGATACCAATGGCCATTCCACCTGGTGTGCTGTGGTATTTTTTAGTATATGGAAGTCGGAAGGGGAGGTGACTGGGTGGGGGGAGAAGACTTACGTGCAACCGTATGCGAGAGCCATGAGCCAGGGCTGGATAGATTTGGGGCCCCATTTGATATCTGCGATGCGGACGCCGAGGGCAAGGCCTTCGAATGTTTCTGTGGTGCGGTGGTTAGCAATGGTGGTCATGGTTGGCCGACGTATAGACTTACGGTGGAATACAATGGCGATGAGCAGGACGGTAAAATCGTTGCCTACGGAGACGGCGAGGGACATGCCGATGAAGATGCTGTGGAATAGAATACCCATTTCCAGGAGAAAGACTTGCATGACGGCTTTGCGGTGAATTTGCTCGGGTGAGAGGATATGCTCGTGGTCGCCGCTTTCATGATCAGGTTGAGGAGTATATTCAGTACTTTCCACCTTTTTGAGTTCAACTGGCGCTTCGCCGATTTCTGATCCGCCGGCGGATTCAATGGCATCGAGTCTTTGGCCATCTTCGCGGTAGCGGGACAACGTTCTACTGATGCTCCCGACTCTGCCCTTCAACGCACCAAGATCACGGACGCGCATGCTTGATTCCGAGTAGGTTCGCTCTAGCCCCATCCGCGGCGAAGTAGGCTGCTCTTCCATCTCTGCGTCAGGCATCTCCGCATCAGGCGCCTTTTTCGGACGCGAGACGGCTGCTACGCCCTCATTACCACCGCAGACATGGCGAGCAGGGGAAAATGTCATTTCAATCAAGGTGACGAAGAAAACGCTAGCTAGCATAATGGCGCCGGGCATGGCCTGATAGTCTGTAGTCCAGAAACTCGACAGGCAAGGGTCGCCCAGCGAACCAAAGGCCGTGGGAAGCAGATGCACAAAAGCGGTTGCGACGAGGACACCGGTACCAAAGTGCTTAGCGCCGAAGAGAAAAGATGGAGGAATGCGCAGACGAGGAAACTTGAGCACGAGCATGGGAAAGGCACAGCCTGATCCCGATACAAAGAGAATAATGAAAAGACCGCCAACATGGAGGGCGAGGTCGTATTCCGGGTGCGCCTTGCCATTCTCACAAGTGCTTCGTCTTGGAAGCCGTTGGAAGGGGGCATCTGGACAAACAAGTTAGCAGACAAATGGTGGCGTGAGAATTTCCAACTTTACCCTGAGATACGACAAACTTGGGCGCGGTCAAGTTGCCGCTGGCATAAGAAATGAAGATTGAAGTACAAAGTACGGAGACCAGCCATTTGGCCCAACCGACGACAATGTCGGTGAGGCTAGCTTGGCACTTGGTCAAATGCGTGGTTGTTCGGGTGCAAGGTCCTACAGCCGTGAAAAAAAAGTAACTCGTGTCAGCGCGGTGTACTCATTTTCTGGATTCAAACGTTTGAGAAGAAGAAGAAGAAGTAGAAGAAGAAAAACATACCTTTTGAGGACCCTTTGACACCCCCGCCCATGGCGATGGCTTTGTCCTTGTCTATTTCTTGGCCATTGAAATGGTCGACTTGGCAGGCTCGCAAGTTGCGTGAAGTGCACAGCTGATCTGCTTCACCCAGCTCCCGTGCGTTGGCGATGCCGTTGAGATCAGCGCACGTTGTAAGATCAGCGGCGAAGCGTGGTGGGTTCTGGTTCCATCCGGGGTGCCAGAGGATATCGTCGTCTGTTCTGGACGGGCAGTTCATGTCTGCAGCGGAATACAGGAAAGGGTAAGTAAGTAGTAGCTGCGGCTTAATTTCAGAATCGACAAGCAGGAATGAAGGATTTTGGGCGTGGTTGACGTGTCGGTCTGCTGTTCCGAGTCGAGGGATCAAAGGCAAGCAAAATTTCCAGGAATGACGAGGTGTCGTGTGTACGATAACTACAATACGACGGTGATGGGGAATTGTTCGGGCTATATGACATGGGGAGGACCAGTCGATTGACGGCTAGCGGCTCTTCCGTCTCGTCATCGTCCAACCACGCGACAGTTGCCCTGACCGCCAAGGCACTCGACCCCGGAGTTTGACTACCAGCGCCACATGCAGACAGCCACACGGGTGCTCCGTTTTGACATGATGATGATGACGACGATACTGGTCAGACTCCAGATGTGCTTCGCTGCTTTTGCTGGGAAATGTTTGTTTCACTGCAACATGGCAGTAGAGCAGCCGACAGTTTGTTCATCGGCTAAAACGGCTTCTGATCGATACATGACGATGCGCGGCCGGTGGGCCATTATTCAAAAAAACATCAGGTCCGAGGTTTCCCGACAGCCGCGAGGAAAAGTACCAAGACGAGAACGATTAGGCCAGACGAACGTCAGATGCGGTGCTCTCACATGCTGATCCCATCTCATGCCGTTTTAGAAAGGCCAGGCCATCGGCTGAGTCATTACAGCACCGCCAGCATGACCACCTGCAACAACGCAATCTGGCTTCATTTCCATGGACCTGTCAATTCGACACTGGACTAATGTCTGCAATAAGATTCACCTAGTCTCTGCCTTGAGGCTCTCGCGTCCCCCGCCCAGCGCATGTTGAAGCGCCTTTACATAATTTCTCCTTGGCTACATACTATGGGTATCGAACCACCACTCACTGCGCCCTCTCCGTCTCCAATACTTCAAGCGCACCTCCCACTAGATGCAAGCTGCCAGTAACCAAAACCATGACTTCTGCATCAGCTCCTGCATTCGCTGCATATTCGCGCGCTACGCTCCTTGCTGTGGCTACTGCCTCTTGGATGGTACGCAGTACATGCACTTTTGCTGTGCTATCAATCTCCGACCATGTCGCCGCAAGCGCCTTCTGCACAGCCAGTGTGTCCACATCTTTCTGGTTGGTATTGATGGCGACAAGGTCCGGCTTGTAGCCCTCGCTGAATGTCTGGTTCGTGGTGAAAATGACATGAGTAAAGGGCGACGTCGAGCCTGTAGTCATGCCGCTCTGCAGAGTTGCATACAAGGCCTTTGCTAGCGCACTTGCATCTCGAGTTTGTTGGTTGAAGATGAGTATCCGAGGTACCTTTGGGTCGGACGCGGCTGTCGAAGTTGCAGCTCTTATTTGCTCTGCAAACCATTGGCCAGTCACCTCAATGCTCTCCATGGTATGTCCTCCATCGATATGCCATGCCACATTGGGTTCACGTCGTACCTCACACCTACCTGCCCAATGTGCCTGCTCTAGACCGCGAACAAACTCAACGGGGAGCTCAATGTGGGGAACAGCCGTGGGGTCTGGAATGGACGAGTGCCCGAGCGCGCGCAGATGAGCGGCCGCGGCTGCAATGGCTACTGATGCGTTGATCTTTTGAAATGCTGCGCCCAGCCCTAATTTAATTTTGTCCTTTGCCAGCGCCGGGTGCACGTCAACGACAATCAGCTTTTCGCCCTTTTCTGCTGCTCGTTCATGAAGCACAGTCATGGCCTCGTCCTTTTGGCGCGCCGTAATTGCGACACTGCCCGGTTTGAAGATGCCAGCTTTGTGCCACGCGATTTCTGGCAGCGTGGAACCGAGCATTGCCGTATGGTCTATGCCCAGGCTGGTGACGGCCGTAACCGTGGGTTTGGTCAGAATATTAGTACTATCAAACTCTCCACCAATGCCACACTCGATGACGGCCGAATCCACCCCCTCCTTCAGGTATGCATGCAGTGCCATGAGCGTCAAATAGCGGAAGTAGACTGGCTTCGTGGGCACATCGGCAGGTGCGTTTTCTGCCTGCGCTGCAGCCTCGAGCTTGTCCCATACCTCAAAAAAGTACTTTGCAAACTTTTCCTCGGATAGCGGCTCATTGTTGATCTGTATGCGCTCACGAACGAAGCGTAGGTGCGGGGAGGTGTAGAGTCCAATTTTGGAGGGTGGCCGCGCCTGGGCTCCGGTGGGAGTGGCATACTGCGATAGGATTGACGAGATGAAGGCACTAGTCGAGCCTTTACCTTTTGTTCCCGCAATGTGTACAGGCCTCAGGCAGTCAAATTCGGAGGGCTGAGAATCCGGTCAATTGCAATGCTCGCGTGGGCGTCTTGGGAGCCGCACACCTCATATCCAACCTTGCGACACCACTCAATCATCTCGGGGATTGCCTGCTTGTTCATACCCCGGCCAGATTTGCGTATCGCATCGACGATGGAGAAGTTTGACTGCAGCGTATTCAACGCCGCGACAGCAGCCTATGCCCGTCAGCTCCACTCTGAGTGTGTCTCATGGCGGGCATACCGCATAGTCACGCTTCTCCATGGTGGCGGTGCTGTGGTAGAACAGGCGTCTTGAGGCTCTCAACATGGGGGCATCCTGCTGCTTGCGTAGCGGACATGCAGCTGCACTTTTGTTCGCAGAATGGGAATGGGTCCGTCAACAGCCGATGTCGCCCTTGATAGTGCCGGGCTTGGCGCATTCCCCCAGCCGTTCTTTGAACCGCCGAGTCCTCTCTGTGTCTGCACAACGAATATACTGCGTACTGCAAACATGACCTTCGCGTGAGCGGAACCTGGCCTCCCATCGCAGCCGAACCGCACATCCGTCTGATCGTCAGCCCTGGTTTTGTCCAGCCCATCCCAGTCCGACCTAGTCAAAACGTGTTGCGTTTTGTCGCTTCGGAGCACGCAACCCAGCGTGGAGCAGCTGCGATAATGCTCTCCACACCACCAGTTCCCAGACAAGAAGGCTGGTTTTGCGCTTGAGGCACATTCCCACTCACTTTTCTCGGCCAGGCAATGCAGCGGCGCCTTGCTGGAGTAGATCGACACCATTCGGTTTGAGGCCTCGAGTTCCGCCTCAAAATATGACTTCAATCTCGCCCCCAGCTCTCGACCCGAACATCACTGTTTCCATGAGTCTTGTAAACAGTTACAAAACTTATCACATCTTGCAACATTGTGTCTCTGCCACATATATAATGCCATATAATCGAAAAGGAAACATGTTCCTGTACCTGATGAGAGCGTTACCAACCAGGCACATCCTGATCTCAAACCGATTGTCCAGATCAGCAGAATGACAAATGGCTTTATTCTTATTATCAAGAGATCACCCAGGACCGAATAGCATTGATTGTCACCAAAGCAATTTCGACAAAAGGCTTGGTTTCTGCCCAGCAAATCATATTGTATACGCGCACCGTTTACAACTGTCAAACTTGAACAGCATGCAGATAAGAGTGCATTACCTGGACAAGCCGCAGAAAGTCTAAATAAGGTATACAACATTACTCGTATTAGAGCGTCAACCCGCTCAATTGCGCCGGTGACAGACTACTACAGCCGTCCGGTAACCTTGTTCCTGACGATCATATCAACTAATCCATGTCATGCCTGTCAAGCTAGGTGCCAATTCCCATCCAGCGCTGATAGCCTGGACACTGACAACACAAGCTACGTACGTATCCGTCTCTGCGCAGCCGAGACACAATGCGGCTGCAACATGAGCGAGGAGCCAAGCTTGCGAGTACTGCGACCTTTTTGGTCGCATCCATCCTTAGCCCCGCCGGATCGACGTTTCACGGATCAATACCTATCCTGGTCACCCCCATCATGGCGGAACGCCGCCCGGGTCACTGCAGCACATATTATCCTCGTCCATCTCCAGTTTCTAGTCGTTTTGCTATTTTGTGCTTTTTTTCGCCTCCCACTCATCCACGCGATTTTCGAATGGCCTGTTGAGCAACCGTGGCGGATACTTCGCCATGGAGCTATTCACCGCATTCATACATTCCTTTGCCGATGTTGACTGGTGGCGACCAAGGGATCACATTCGGTCTTTGTGCTAGACGCACCAGACCCCCATTCGCTCAAAGACACGCATACACATCAGCATCAGCAATTCTGTGTGCGGCATAGTGCAAGGGCCCTGTCGCAACCAAGTCAGCTTACAAAGGAATAAAACACGGTTTCAACAACTCCAGCCTGGTGTTTTGGAAGCTACATTCACTCAAACACGCAAGCCTCTGCAGGAAGCACATCTTCCAGTGTAATTCTTAATTGTCACTGCCATTGCCATTTCCCGACAAGCCCCGTCATGTATACCATCGCCATCACTCTGACCGCCTTCTTATCGATACTCCACACAACCTCGGCGTCTTCAGTATCGCGCCTCACTCGTCGCGGCCTCCCAGGAGCATATTACACATGCACAGATCCCAATTTCTCGGGGGAATGTAGCTGGACTCAGCCTAACACCGATTGTCACATCCAGGGTAGTCCCGAAGGCATCGAATCGCTCGGGCCGGACGAAGGTACCCTTTGTACTCTATGGCCAGGATTCGACTGCAAGGGAAATCCCATCATGTCTATGCGATTTCCCGGCATCGCAACGGGGTTGCCAAAGTTTGGAAGCTTTAACTGTTCGGTTATGGCCAGCGACCAGCGGAACCAGGCGGAAGCTCTGGCCATGGTTGGGGGGGTCACTTTGGACAATGGAGAAATCAGGGAATTTGGGCTAAAGACTGTAGAAGGGAAGGGCAGGGAACAGGGTATGATTGGATTGAAAAAGGGTGTTTATTATTGATGTGGCAGTGATACTGTTGCTATAAGTTCTATACGGGATGGCTTTCTGGAGGATGCATGGGCGCATCTTTACGACATTTAACTTTCTTGTGTTTCTTTGTTGAGTGTACAGTAGACGTTTGAGTGGTTCTGATGCTACTGGATAGCAGTATGATACGTAGTCTTCTCCTGGGGCAAAGACCCATAAAATGATACCCCTAGCAAACATCCAAGATGTGGTTGGCATACAAAATCATGGGTCGCATAGCTATGGTGCTGAGGCTGTCAGAGTAAAACATGTGTGTTCCGCAATATGTTTTGATATGCGCAAAAATTCAATCGACGTTTGTCGAGCGGTAGAATATATTAAATAGTAATTACAAGTAATTAGATGTAGAAATGGAAGCTAAATCGGCAGGGTCCAACACCTAGCACCCCAGCCAGCTTTGTTAGGGCCACATGGCTGCTTGGCATGCTTCCCCACATGGGCCACCGCCACCCGTCGCGCTGGCATTGCAACGTCGCCTTTCTCCATACACTCTTTGCTTACTCTAAAAAAGAAAAAGAAACCTGCACATTCCTCCAGCCCGTCAAAATGAAGGTCACCGTACTCCTTGCATTGGCCACGGCCGCCGTTGCTGACATCATCAACAACGAGGTAAATAGAGCCAATTATAACATGCGTATGTCGAGCATAGCATACTGACAATGTCTATAGTACCTCAAGACCGAAGTCATTACTGAGGCCAAGTGCTCTCGCGCGAGCAAGGCTGGCGACAAGATCCACGTCCATTACCGCGGTACTCTTACAGATGGCACCGAGTTCGATGCTTCATACGGTCGTGGCGCGCCCTTGAGCTTCACCGTCGGCTCAGGCCAGGTCATCAAGGGCTGGGACCAGGGTCTGCTGGATATGTGCCCCGGCGAGAAGAGGAAACTCACCATCCAACCCAAGTGGGCATACGGCGAGCGGGGTGCTGGTCCCATTCCCCCCAACAGCGTTCTGAGTAAGTCGCGCTGAGTTGTCACATGGCAGATGCTTTTGAACTAATCCTTGGCAGTCTTCGAATCAGAGCTCGTCTCCATTGACGGCGTTGAAAAGGAGGAGCTCTAAACGTTGTATATGACCTACGACTGTGCGCTCTCCAGTTTCCGGTTGGATACCTGAGTTATGAGCAAGCAACAATGCAATACGATATCATGAAATAAATGGTCAAGAGGACCTCACATTTAAACCTTTCCAATTACAGTTGAAAACATACGTGGATCTCTCATATACCAAAACTCGACGTCACAGGTCATTGGCTAACAAATCTTATCGTGAATACGCCGACATGATGTCTGCACATAACTTAACACATAACTACCTTTTCTCAGTCTTTCATTCCACTTTATGCTACCTAGTTTTTATTCCTTGATCCCATGGTTAGATTCATAGGCTATGCACAAAGCGCATTTTCATGTTGAGTACTATTGATTCTGTCTTCAGCTCCAATTCACTTGTTTGCTTTCACCACCACAAGCTCATTGTACACTAACATTATGGTTTCCACCAAAGGAAACCGCTTTACACTACATCTTTCACAATGTCTTGGTCGTCTCTACGCAATGAAACCTACAAGCCGATTGCAAACTTTACTCAACTGACAAACTCTGCACATCGACATCACAAATCCAGTTCGTTTCTACTTTCCATACAATCGTCGTTTTCTCTCCTATTTTAAAAACCATGTCACCAACCAAGAAATCCGACGCCTGTGCTGCAAAGCCAAAGCCTCCTATCAAGAAGGTCAAAGTTGTCAACAGAGGCTCAGAGATCAAGCAAATGACAGCCACCGCCGAAGCAGCTCGGAAATCCGCAATATCCTCCAAGCAGCCTTCCAGTCTTAATCTGATTCCACAACAATCTTCTGGCTCAACTCACATCGCACAAAGTTCTGGTCGAATACTCATCGGAAAGAATGCGGCCAGCAGGATAAGACAGCGCAATAATGTGGTTGGCAAGACTGAAGCTCCGATCTCTCAGCCTAAGACTAAGAAGATTGCAACTGAGAAAAAGGATGGGGTATATAACACTTCCTCACAGCGCAAGTCTGCGTTATCTCGCCCGGCTAGAGTTACTACAGAAGTTGCGACAACCAAGCAACCCAACGCCAAGAAGCTTGCTATTAAGAAAAAGGATGGAGTATATAATACTTCTTCAAAGCCCAATAAATTGTTTCGCAAGATTATAGCTCCAGTATTACAGCCCAAGACCAAGAAGCTTGCAACTGAGAAAAACGGGGAACTATGTAATATTTCTTCACAGCGCAAGTCTGGGTTACCTATACTCGATATCGATAAAGTTGCTACAGAAGCGGCGACAACCAAACGGCCTGCTCCTTCCCAAAACATTACACTCCAGCGTATGGCCAATAAAGCAGTCCGTTCCCTTAAAGAGCGTCGGTGGGTTGCTCAAACAGCGCTCGATGGTCTCTTCCCACTGATGAAGACCCATGATGCGATTGAGATCGCTGTCGCCGGGTTAGAAAAGCAAATTGACGATTGCAACTCAGATATCCAGCAGCTGAAAAGACTGGTCCACAGCTCGCATGCAGGTGATGTCAAGCCCACGGAGTTCAAGGTAAGGATACCTCTTCCCGTTAGAGTCAAGTGTTTTAATCTGTACAGACTATTCTCGCTTTAGCTTCACTGGTATCGTGTAAGAGAAATACAGACGAGGAACACAAAATTAACAAAACCACTACGAAGACTCCTAAACTAGATATAAGGGGGAAACAAGTCGCGAGAGAAGTCGACCAAACTCGGCCGAGGGACGAGACTTTGAATGCCGTCGAAGGCAATCAGAAACAAAACATCAAACCCCCAGCGACTACCGACGAAGCCCAAACAAATAGATTGAGTCCACGATTAGACGAAGAGGTAATGTTCCCCTTTCATATCTACACATACACTGTTGCTGACTGACCAACGCAAGCTATTCGGCCCCGACCCCGACCTAGCAGCACCGATAAGCCGTTGCACAAACCCCATTTCACCATCTCGCATGAATACCGATGCACACCCAAGACTGCCCAGCTCCAAAGCGGTGTCCGTGCCGAGGACTCACAAGCCTTCTAACGCACCCACCGCCTGCTCAACAGAAAACGTCAGGGCTGCAGAGTCAACCAAGAACGACAAACTGCAAACAGTTGACACAGACAGCCAGGCGCAAACAAAGACACAGAGTTCGGGAAGTAGATTATCCTCTCCGGAAGATGATGATGTTGGTGGTGGTGTCAGGCCTGGGTCACGCGCCAGCAGTGAAGACAAATTCCTGGGCAAGGAAAAGGGGGTCGAGGACAAGCGAAGCGAGAAGCGCAAGCATGAATATGTTGAGGCTGAAGATAAACCGAATAAGAAGGTCCATCTTTCAGGGCAGTGATTCTGCCTTGCTCAAGGCTTGTGGTGCAGGCGTCATGGAAGATTGCTGCGCCCAAGGGGACACAAGGACTGCCTAGCGGGTGATCTACTTAGGTTTGCCACTTGGACCGGGATATTCTGTATATGCAGGCTGTGCAATGTGCTCAGTCGGCGAGTATAGAAGTAGGAAGAAGATGCTTCTGACCAGCGAGTGGAAGATAGACTCTTAGTGTGGCTGGCTAAAGCTAGATGTAGTTAACATTGTGTTGAAGACTCAGTAGTGCATACGTAGATGGCTTGAACAGACACAATACCGTCAGCCATTCTTATTCAAAGCCACTTTCATTGCGCGATGACATTGTCTTTTAGTCAAGATTTTAACTCGACCATATACGCCTCCGCAATGTTGGATAGGTCGAATTAAGGAAGTGCACAGAGGCGTTGAAATTACGTGACTGGCTAGTGCTCACAGCCTTGCGCGCCTCCTTGTCAGCGCGGTCAGACACCTGCCTAGCAATGCCCACACGTGGAAATCAGCGCGATGGCTGACGCGAACCATTTCAGGTAACTACTTCCAGCCCGATTGCGATGTCAAGTTGGAGAGTCTTGGTAGCCGTCCATGTGAGGAGATCGGACTCAATGAGCGCAACTATGACATCACCCGGCATATAATAGCTGCCGGGACGTGCATCGGGTTCCAGAATCGGGTAGCCAAGGTAGCCATGCAGTTCACTCCAACATGTTCGAGTATTATTCACGGGCCACTTTCCTCATTGCGCTCAGCGACCGCTGGGAGATGACTTGAGAATTTCTGCAGAGCGGCGAATGGCCGGTATGAACCCGTCCGGAAAGGCTGGACCTCGGTAGAACCTTCAGCCGCGCTGGGCGTACTAATCATTCACTCTCCTAGAGAATATGCTGCGGCACAATGTGGTACCTCATCGTCATTCGCGTCGCCGGGCTGTGAAAGGGGCTTCCGTCATGCGGTGGCCACAGTCAAGAGCCATTCATCGCCACGAGGGTGCCTGGCGTATACACAGGTTGTAGTCACTTTCATGGTCAGCAACTCTGTCTGGAGCGGAAGGCGAGACATGGAGTGCTCGGAATAAGGCCGATTAATTGAGTCTGCCAAGGCGAGGCAGACTGGTGACCACCACCAGCTTTGTATCCGAGTAATTTCAAGAAGAAAAAAACGAGCCGTCTTGGACAGTGGGCAGCCTGCAAACAGAAGTGTTGCTCGAACTGTTCCAGATTGCAAACGTTGTAGGGCTGCTACAGTGTGCATACAGCCAATCACATGTGGCTGAAATTAACCGAGCAAAAGCATGCAAAGAGAGAGATTACAGCACTCCAGGGCCAGTAGTCTGGTAATCTCCCAGGTGGCAAGAATCTCTAGGTAGCAAGCATTTCAGTATACGCCGCAGCAAGAGGCGAATACTACATTGTAGTACGTATACTTACTATTCAGCTTGACCAGCCCTGCACTCAGCTGGCCAGCCTCGTGGCGTAGAGCGTCCAGCCAATCGCGGGCAATGTAGATCTGAGGCTAAGCACATGCGCCACGCAGCGCCACGCAGCTAAGCCTCAGGCTCCGACCAATCAATACGCTCAGTTCCTGAAACTAGAGGATCGATCTACACGTAGTCTCCAAACGCATGGTCCCTATTGCATCTCCACCATTCTTTCAGTTTCAACCTTCTCAAATGTCTATACAATGCCTTCAGACATTCCACAAGCCATACACGTGTGCCGGAGCGGAAGCTGGGGGGCGTCCGTGCTCCAAGGCGCGGAGAGGTTTGCACTGCCCCCTTCCAAGAACGCCGGGCAGCTTGTCTTGCGCTCATCTCGCCTTCAACGGTTCTAGTCGCCAAAGCAATCATCTGGCCTATCTTGGCGAGCCCTCGCCAGCTCAGTGTCCAGCACCACGATAGGAGATGGCCAGGATTTCGCAACTGGTGCCACGGCCGTACCATTGCTGGCCTCCACCCATAGTCATGGCGAAAATTGCCCGAAACCTCATCGAGGCGGCACCGCGCCAAGCAGCCCTCTGGCAGAGCTTGTATCATCAGGCAGGTCCATACCGGCACCAAGCGCCCAGCGGGCTTGGTTATGGGGCAAACATATACACAGCCCACTTCTTGGAAGCCAGTACTATATGGTGGCTCGAGACGCGCCCCTCGACGTGTCAGACCTGGTCCTCATTTCACCCTCACGTGCACTCACCGCTATCTCCTGCTACTAGTATCTAGTATACCCCTACTTCTAATCTTTTGAGATCTAGCGGCAGCAGTGTTACCTGCCTTGTACCTCTCTTTTCATCTTTCACCATGGAGACGGGCAAGTTGGCCCCGCCGACACTCCAGATCAACACACGGCAACGCGCGTTAAGCCAGGCCGACACAATCACCTCACAAACATCAGATCCCTTCCGAACACCCATATCACCAAGTAATGCGTCCACCAGTGGAGTATCTACAGTCGTATCAGAGTATGATGCAGCAGTCCAGCAAGAGCTGCGGGCAGAAGCCGCGTCTGATACAGACAATCCCTTCGCCTTTCGACCATCACAGCTGAGCAAGCTTCTTAACCCCAAGTCGCTTGCAGTATATCATGCTCTCGGTGGTCTGCAAGGAATCGCAGCCGGCTTGCAATCAGATATTCACACTGGACTCAGTGCCGACGAGTCCACAGTGCCACGGCAGATTTCCTTTGACGAAGCAACGAACCCACATGCAAGTCCCAAGGAAAAGACATCGGACCGATTACCGAGAGACGGACAGCCATTTGAGGACCGGATTCGTATTCACGGGCGAAATGCTCTACCACCAAAGAAAGCCACTCCGCTATGGAAGTTGGTATGGAACGCATACAACGACACTGTCCTCATTGTCCTTACCATCGCGGCTGTAATTTCACTGGCGCTCGGTCTCTATGAAACATTTGGAGCAGAGCATCCCCCTGGCTCCCCGACACCCGTTGATTGGGTAGAAGGCACTGCTGTTGTGGTAGCCATAGTCATCGTGGTTCTTGTTACGGCAGTGAATGACTGGCAAAAAGAGCAGGCCTTTGCAAGGCTCAATGCAAAGAAGGAACAGCGCGATGTCAAGGTTACACGGTCTGGGAAAATCGTCATGATCAGCATCTATGATATCCTAGCGGGAGACATCATCCACTTGGAGCCAGGCGACATTATCCCTGTAGATGGTATCTTTATCGATGGCTCAGACGTCAAGTGCGATGAATCCTCCGCTACAGGAGAGTCGGATGCCATGCGCAAAACACCTGGCGCGGTTGTCACAAAAGCCATGGAGTCTGGCCAGTCAGTGAAGGATCTCGACCCATTCATTATCTCTGGCGCCAAGGTGCTCGAAGGCGTGGGTACCTTCATGGCTACCTCTGTCGGAGAGCACAGCAGCTTTGGCAGAATCATGATGTCAGTCCGTGTCGAGATCGAGACGACTCCTCTTCAGGAAAAGCTGGGCGGCCTCGCCATGGCCATTGCCAAACTCGGAACTACTGCCGCTGGTATTCTCTTCTTCGTTCTGCTGTTCCGCTTCGTAGGTGGATTGGATGGCGATACACGAGATGCTGCGGCCAAAGGCTCGGCTTTCATGGACATTCTCATTGTTGCTGTAACAATCATTGTTGTAGCCGTTCCTGAAGGACTTCCTCTTGCTGTCACCCTGGCTCTGGCATTTGCCACTACCAAGATGTTGAAGGAGAACAACCTTGTGAGAATTCTGCGAGCCTGTGAGACCATGGGCAATGCCACCGCCATCTGCTCTGACAAGACTGGTACCTTGGTAAGTATTCTGTATCATATACATTGAACAAGATCCTAACATTTCATGTAGACAACAAACAGGATGACTGTCGTCGCTGGCACCTTCGGCAACACTAGATTCGTGCATGCCGATACTGTCTCGGAGAAGGACGAACCCATTTCGGCATGGGCATCAAAGGTTACACCAGTTGCAAAGGACCTCATCACACAGTCTGTTGCTATCAACTCAACGGCCTTTGAAGGGCAAGAAGACGGAAAGCCATGCTTTGTTGGATCCAAGACAGAGACTGCCCTGCTTCAGTTCGCCAAGGACCACTTCGGCCTCGTTTCCCTGGCAGAGACTCGCGACAACCAACAAGTCATGCACATGTTCCCCTTCGATTCAGCAAAGAAGTGCATGGGTGCTGTTCTCAAGCTTCAGAATGGAAACTACCGCCTTGTTGTCAAGGGAGCATCTGAGATTCTTCTCGGTTTCTCTTCTTCCTCTGCCGACTTTGCTACCCTCGAGACTCAACCCCTGACAGACGGCGAACGCCAGAACCTCCTTGATACCATCAACGAGTATGCTAGCAGATCGCTCAGGACTATTGGACTTGTATACCGCGACTTTGAACAATGGCCCCCAGCCAGCGCTGAGATGACCGAAGGCGGCAGTGTTTCTTTCGCTTCCCTGCTGCACGATCTCATCTTCTTTGGTGTTGTCGGTATTCAGGATCCCATTCGCCCTGGTGTTCCTGATGCTGTTCGCAAGGCACAAAAGGCTGGTGTTACTGTTCGCATGGTTACTGGTGACAACATGACGACGGCTAAAGCTATTGCAACGGAATGTCTCATCTATACTGAGGGCGGTCTGGTCATGGAAGGCCCCGACTTCCGTCGTCTTACCGAAGAACAACTGGATGAGATCTTGCCCCGACTCCAAGTGCTGGCTCGTTCCTCGCCCGAAGACAAGCGCATCCTTGTTCAACGTCTCAAGACTCTTGGTGAGATCGTTGCCGTTACTGGAGATGGTACAAATGACGCTCCCGCGCTCAAGGCTGCCAACATTGGTTTCTCGATGAACTCTGGTACAGAGGTTGCTAAGGAGGCGTCCTCAATCATTCTCATGGATGACAACTTCACATCTATCATCACAGCCCTCATGTGGGGTCGCGCTGTCAACGATGCGGTGCAAAAGTTCCTTCAGGTAAGCTGTACTTCACTCAGTTCTCTCTAGTTCACAATATTAACGAAAACAGTTCCAAATCACTGTCAACATCACCGCTGTCGTACTCGCATTCGTTACAGCCATATATGACGACGAAATGAAGCCTGTGCTCAGGGCCGTACAGCTCCTCTGGGTCAACCTTATCATGGACACCTTCGCAGCCCTTGCCCTCGCTACCGACCCTCCGACCGAAAAGATTCTCGACCGCCCACCTCAAGGCAGAGGCCCTCTCATCACAACCACCATGTGGAAGCAAATCATGGGTCAAAATATCTACAAGATCACCGTCATCTTCGTGCTCTACTTTGCCGGAGGCGACATTCTCGGCTACGACCTTTCCGACCCCAACATGCAGCTCGAGCTCGACACGCTCATCTTCAACTGCTTCGTCTGGATGCAAATCTTCAACATCTTTAACAACCGCCGTCTCGACAACAAGCTCAACGTGCTCGAGGGTATCCTCCGCAACTGGTTCTTCATCGGCATCGTCGTCATGATCATCGGCCTCCAAATCCTCATCATCTTTGTCGGTGGCCGCGCCTTCCAGATCAAGCCTGGAGGCATCGATGGAACCCAGTGGGCTATCAGCATTGTTGTCGGCTTTGTATGTATCCCCTGGGCCGTTCTCATCCGCTACTTCCCCGATGAATGGTTCGCTGTCATTGCGCGGATTGTCGGCAAGCCTGTCGTTATCGTCTACCGCTGGTGCTGTACTGCCGCTAGCAAGGTCAAGAAAGTATTTACCTTCCGTCGCAAGAAGGAGGTTAAAGAGGAGAGAGATGTCGAGGAGGCAGCTGCTCCGGCTATTGTTGTAGTCGGTGATGACGCGAGTACTGCTGCTGCTGAGGCTAAGAAGTATTAGAGCAATGCTTCTGCCTCTTGTCTCTGTGTTTTTTTTTAGTTCATAGTTCTTTTTTTTGGCTCAGATATCATGGACTCTGGTGACGATGTTACGGTTTTTCTTTGTACTCTAATAGAAGGGGGGGGGGGGCATATTGATCAAGCATGGTGTAGATAATTGGAATGTGTGTGTATCTGGCATTTTTACTATATCTCGTGGATCTCCTGTGATGGCCTTGAGGTGTACTTACTCGTAGGGACTGATGGGAGTTGTAGTTGCTTCAGTACTTCTATGCTGAGGGACTCATGTGTATACAAGAGACAAGTCCTCTGTCTGCTGTTAGCACAGAAGCAGAGACATGAAATAATACCAAGTAAAGAAGAAGAAATACGTAATATCTTTTCTCACATCCTACATGCTGCGACTTCACTATCCTAACTGCAAACTTGTTCTCTACGATAGATTCAATGCTATAATGATACATCGCATACTATCTCCATCAGCCCCCTTCTTTTTTTTCCCGGCTGAACTTGCGTATTGGAAGAGTCTTGGATTCTTGCAGGGCAGTGAGGATACGGGGTTCTGAAGACAGCTGCTTCGGGGTGATATTCACACAGCTTGAATTTGTGGAGGGGTTTTTCTGTGTACGTATACAGCTATTCGTTGGTTCAAAGCAGGGTCTCGCAGACATAAGTCTCTTAGACCCTGACCCCATTTTTTACTTTAACTGCAAGGTCTGTTTTTTTTTTGGATACCCGATTCCGGCAGGTTGGGGTGTGGCCTCCCATTCTTTTCTGAGATAATTGAGCTGATACGCTATATAGCAAACAAATAATTAAAAAAGAAAGTCAAGCCACGGCTATTCGTTATGTTCATGCAAGACGTGGGGAAATGTTGGGGTAAGATGAGGGATTCTGATTGATTCTTGGCTTGGAACTAAGGGCAGTGTAGCGGTAACATTTTCGCAACGCAAGATTGTGACGTGACATTGCACACACATGCTGTTCTTATCATAACTTTGCTTTCTGCGATTTTCTGTTTTTCATTTTCCATAGTCATTTGGGATTTTGTGGTCAATTGTTTCGATGCTGATTATCACTCTCTATTCGTCTGCTCCGGATAGATCGGAAACGCTTGATAGTAGAACGCGCCATGGACAAAGTGCAGAACGCCATCGGACGAGCAAGTTCGAAGTGTTTGTAGAAGTATCAAATGGCGGGGTAATGGTTATAAATAAAATGGCAGAAATCAGTCCATGTTTCTCACGACTTTGTGTAATACCATACGCATGGCTGTACGGCCCTACGCGTAGGTTGTGGTTAATGGCCTTTGGTATACGCGCTATTCCCCAGGGTTTCCCTGCTCCACTGCTTGGCTCGCTCTTGTCACGCTCCTTTCTCTCAGCGCCACCTTAGCAGACTGGCGGCGGGTAAGACTCCAGGTGGCTGTCTAAGCCTTAAATAAGTGGGCTTCTTTGTATCGTTCCAAGCGGCTACTTCCGCCCGAATGGAGCCGAAAATAGCGTAGGAACGCTAGATAACCTTCGGGAAACTTGTTCGCTTGTGAATTGATCAGTTGTTGTGGGGAGGAAAGTACAGAATCAAACACAGGTGCGGTGGGCTTCGAGCAGTATGATCAGCGCTGAGCTAAGCGATGGGTCAGGCAAATATTAGAAGCTGCCAGAATCATTTGATTGTGATTCTCCTTTGGCTTGAACCTTGGGTCTATTTATCACATCTTGTAATCTTACTCAACAGCACCCGAGTTCTTTGCCGATCCTGCTACAGCCTATCACCAGACAACCCCTATCTCACCCATGTTGTTTTGTCAAAGTTTCGCACAGACTGTGGTGTCGATACCATCTATCTGAATCCCTTGATCAATCACTTCGTTTTTGGAAGGCCAACAGATCCATTTTAACTCGGTGTACACATCCTAACCACAAGTACTGCGACGCCTTGTGCGATTTGTCAAAACAAAACTGAACCTTTCGACTATTAATTCTGATAATTAACTAGTCTCATAGAACATACAAATAAGAGGTTTCTGCGTATATCTGTGTTCTCCCGTAAAAGTAGCCTTTATGTAATGAGTATGACGGTCACAGGCCAATGTCTAGTTGGCGTCTAGCGCAACAGCTGATTATCTCTCTGAAAAGAACAACAGGCCACCTCCCAGTCTGCACACGCCGAGGTAACGATTTTCGTCATCGGGGTCATGTGTTGTTGTTACTGTAAACGCAGGTGGATAAGGCTGCGTAGGCCGCTAGGTAAGGCGCACAGTTGAAAATCGCACCATTTCTAGAGCAAAATTACGTTGTTCCCAAGACATGAGAGAGTCACGAAGCGGCTTGATAGTGTTGTACATGCAGAGCGTCGCGTCAGTTGTAAATAATAGGTCCAGCCAAGTGACCAATGTGGTCGGATGCCTGACAAGGCACCTTGGCACCGTTCAAAAACGCCTTGTTCCCCGTCCTGGAACAAAGTATAGTTCAAACCGTTCTGCGACCATTTGATAGGCCACGGAGCCATACTGCGTATAGTGCCAAAAGGCCGCGTAAACTCATGTCCCAAAGTAGTCAAGTCCCGTAAAAACACCGCTTATACGACACCGCGCCTACGGTCTATTAGGGGTTTCCGACGAGCCAACTCCGGCGCCTGTGAAATTGGGGAACTAGCAGGCCGCTTGACAAAAAAACCAAGTTATACGCCATATCCGCCCCCTGGTGCACGCGGCTACTAGCTGCAAGGCTAGCCAAGTATTTACAACCCCCACGATGGTAGCAACCTTCCATCGCAACATCTGTGAGCAAGAAAGAGGGTTGATCATTGCAACTTCTCGAAGAGACAAAAAAATGGATTCTGACACAGACAGCCGCACAGCCCCCCCTATTTGCAAACAAATAAGCTGTTTTGAACAAATCTTGTCTGCGTTAAGCTTCAACAATGCGTCGACGGAGGATCTTTTCGTCAAACCGCACGGGCCCATATGCGCGACCAACCTGTGGCTTGCGCGGTCTCAATATGCCGGGGCCGGCCAATCACGCGGCGCCGGCGACTGCGCCATTTGTGGCTGCATACGTTGTTAATGTCAGCAGCACGTTAAGCAACTCCACTCCTTTACATGGTACGAGCCACCACCCTACAACTTTTCAGGCTATTTAGGCAAATGTATATGACAAGTGGCAGGGGGGAACATGTGTTTGTGGCGTCGGTGCTTCAGGCATCTTGGATAGTGCGGCCTGACGGTTGCAACGGGGGGGCGCAGTCGGCATATGCGTTTCGTAAAGCAAGACGCTATTGTTTATGGGAAGGAGAGAGTCCGGGGCCACGACTAATCGGTACCAATGTGTTTTATGGGTCATTTTGTACGCACAAGGTCATATACTTGAGGGCCAGTGGCCCTTTCCTTAGCCTCACCAATTCACAGTCGTTTCAGTCTGGCTTTCCCTTCTTAATTCTGCAGTCCCAACTTGTGTCTGCCCTTCTCTTCTTCTTCTTCACAACAGCATCATTGATACTTTTTTCCATACACCATGGAGAATTCGTTGGATGACAAAAAGCGGCACACTGGCTCCCTTCCTGGGTTCGCCAACATTCAAAATGTGCCCATATCGCCAATGATCAAGCACTCTGGCCTCGTCTTCGCAATCGTAAGTGACCTATCAGTCATTACATTGGACTCTGATCGAACACCTTTTCGCTAACATCGTGACTTCAGCTTCTCGCAATCTTCTTCGTTTGTCGACAATACGTCCTCGAAAACGCTCTCGACAGGGGGCTCATCTACAAACGCGTGTGGCCAACACTCAACGCTCGCCAGAAACGTGGCTTCGTAAACCACCATCTGTCCATTGCGGCCAAGATCTTCGTTGTGGCTTTCGCCATTTACCCTTTTTTTGCCGTCGTCCTCGGCAAAGCCGACTTCCACACGCCCATGTTTGGTTCTGGTGTGGGGCATAAGCGACGAGACAGTGTCTTCACGATGGGCGATGCGCTGTATCTCGCAATCATGATCGTCTCGGTCATGTACGGGCATGAGTTGGCGTACCGCGAGGGTATCAGTTATGTCGCTGTTGCCCACCATGTTGGTGTGCTTGTCATGGGCCAGTTGACGCTGTACTGGAGCGGGAAGACCAACCGTCAACCAGATGCAGCTTTGGAGGCTGTCTTGGCTTTGTTCTGGGGTACGTGATGCACACTTTAACATGTTTACCATGGACTAACAATATGCAGGGTTCTTCGACCTGAGTGTCGAGGTACCTCCTCACGTCACCATGATCATCTACCGCGATCCCGAAGTTACATCTGAGAAACTACTACGCTCCTTTTCCGTGGCTTTCTGGTGCTCGTCCATTGGAACCTTAGCTGAGACAGGAACCATATTCGGATTGTATGGTGCTCTGTTCCACAGGTGGACACTTACCATGAAGATCATGATTCCGATTCTGCACTGCATCTTTACGGCTGCGCAGGTCTGGGGTGAGTGGTGCACATGGAGCTTGTGGCAGCAGGAGAAGAGGAAGGTAGCAAGGGGAGACAGGAAAGAAAAAGATGATCTGCCAGCCGGTGATGTAGAACAGAAGTAGTGTCTGTTCGCTTCAGGCTGCCCCTTTTTGATTTTTTACCATTTGTCCAGCGTTATATGTCCAGCATTTTCTTCGAACACACACATCTTCATAGAATCCATTTACTACAATGGTAGTGTATCAACACAATAATTTCCTCCTTCAAAAAAAACAATAGTAACTCTCAGACTAAGGGGATTGATTCTGAAGACCGCTCCTGCATTCAAATCAAATCTTCTTTGAACCTTCGATTTGCAGGAAGGAGTCTAAGTTTTAGTGCCGAAGGAGCTTTCTTAATTTCCTCAATTGACAACTGCACAGAATTCTGAGCCCACAAAGTACTGTATCTAGCCACGACAAGAGAAAACCGTATAGTCAATACAATCATTATCAAAATCAATACAACAGAAGAATGATTATGAATTGTAACTTTGGTTTGAAAACTGCAACACTCGGCTCTCCCCCCTACCTACCGATATCCAACTGCCGCGTCTGTGGCCTTTATGAAACGACGAGCTCATACCATCCCCTACAGTCACAGTGCTTAGCCATGGTGCACCTCACTAGCGACTCTGAGTTAATTATGCAAACGAAAGCTTAATTTGTCCCATACTACTTGACAACAACCCCTGGACGCCCTGCTGCATAAGCTCGCTGGATATATTTTGCTGCCAAATCTCCCATATACAACGGTGCTAATAATACACATGGTACTGCGAACAGACTAACCTAAGAAAAAAAATCCTCTCATCTTTACGGCCGTGAATGGTTTCCCGTGGTGGCGCACTGTAGGCAATGTCTTGTGGCTGAGACAACTGCACATGTACCACAAACATTTCTCCCACAATCATTGCACGCAAACGAACTACCCTCAACAGATCCTTCTAGGTCTGCATCCATGTCGATATCCATACTATCGTATTCGCTTTGCAGTGGTGTATCGCAGTCGTCACACCGAGCCAGCGGTGAGGAACTCTGAGCAAGTTGCACAGGCATCGAGAAAATGGGTTGGACAGGTGGTGCAGGCAGTTCTTTCCAGAAGGAGTGTAATGTCGACTTTTGTGGTTTTGAGATTGCCAAGGTAGACTGCTGACTTGATAAGGAGTGGGATGTTGGGGCTGTGATATCGCGATGGTTGCGCTGCGCAGAAAAGAGTTTATTTAGAGTGTTTTCTGAATAGCGATGGTTAGTAAATTTTGGATATATAGGAATGAGGATTTGCACCATACCGTGTATTGCGCGCTCGTCTGGTCGGTTGTCGCGCACTCTTTTACATGTTCGGTTGCCCCAGTCGCTGTTCTTGACTCGACCCGCACTCATGAAGTCCCAGCCATTAGATCGCGGGTAGGCATCCAAATCCATCGAGGCATCCAGGGTCTTTGGGGAAACAGCGCCGAAGCTGGAAATGGAGAGCGACGAGTCGTCGGACGAGTGCTTGCGCTTGCAGCCCATGGCTGTGGGGGCACTGTTCGACAAATGTGAAATGAATAAGACGGATCTGCGAGGGAACTTGGCGGCTATATATTCGCGTGAATAAGCAACTTGCAGAAGGGCGATGTTGATGTTGATGCTGGGGATGTTGACGATAATAATAACGATGATGATGCAAGGTGCTGGCCAGGGAACGCGACTGGCGTGTCGCGCGAGCGCGTCGCGTCCCAAATAGGAACTGTATTAATTGCCTGGTGCAACTATTCCAACACGCTTATTGCCTCGGCTTGATAGTATATAATGGACATTGATTTATGAGAGAAGTAATGACGACGTAAAAAACCGGGTTCACTTGCATTTTCTTGGTGGTGGGGGTCGGGGGGAAATGGCATTATGTCGATGGTCATCAACTCTCTACATTCAACCCATGCCCCGCATCGCTGCTCATCACCACCATTACCCCACCACTACCACCATAACAACAACCACAGCCTCTCCCCGAGTGCATCCTCCTACGAACAACCATGGTTACTCGCAAGGCCTCCCACGCCGGCTCCTGGTATACAGACAATGGCCAGCTCCTCTCACAGCAGCTCGACGGCTGGCTCGGAGCAGTGCCTGCTTCGACGACACCTATCGGCTCGGCCTCGTCGCAAAAGGGCCAAGTCTCGATACCCACACCCAATGCCCGGGCCATCATTGCTCCGTACGCAGCGTCCAATAGCTACAATTAGCAAGCCAGGGCTCATGAACATGCAGGCACGCCGGATACTCATACTCTGGGCCTGCCGCTGCATGGGCCTACAAGAGCGCCGATTGGGCCAATGCGTGCGTTACTAAGACATGACCTTTACGTCGACCATCTACGCTAATTGCCCGTAGAAAACGCGTCTTTCTGCTCGGGCCCTCACACCATTACTACCTAACCGGCGCTGCGACCACGGGCTGCGACAAGTATCACACCCCGCTGGGTGACCTGATCGTAGACACAACCCTCGTCCAGAAGATTCAGCAGGAATGGGACCTGGAGATCATGTCAAAGAGAACAGACGAAGACGAGCACAGTCTGGAAATGCACCTGCCCTACATCTACAAAATGCTGTCGCTCAAGAACAAAGACTTTCAAAGCAACCCGTCCTCGGTCCCTCTGGTCCCCATCATGGTTGGCAACACCGATGCTGCTGCAGAGGCTCGGTACGGTTCCCTTCTTGCTCCTTATCTTGCTGATCCCACAAACATCTTCGTCATTTCGTCCGACTTCTGTCACTGGGGCTCTCGCTTTCGCTACACATACTATCAGCATCCCAATGGTGCAGCTGCAACTCAGCTGAAGTCAGCCTCGCGGGTACCAAATGACTACCCCATACATGAGAGCATTGCTGCTGTTGATCACGAGAGCATGGATGCCATTGAGACTGGCTCGCACAGAAAGTTTCTTGACCAGCTTAGGAAAACGGGCAACACTGTGTGTGGAAGACATCCTATCGGTTTGTTCATGGCTGCTGTGGAAAGTGCCGAAGCGCTCGAAGAAGGAAAGGGCATATTCAGCTTCCTGCGGTATGAAAGGAGCAGCCTTGTTGAGGACCTCCAGGACAGTAGCGTGTCCTACTGCAGTGCTTTTGCCGTGCTATAGATGAGATCTCGACTGCTAGCCGAATGCCAGATATGAATGATACGTAAGGAAGATAAGTAGAGACAGTAATGTCTCGTTGCAGTGCGATGCGTATATGTACTTGGCCGTACCCCCTAGAAATCTATAACGCCTAGTAATGCAATGTACCTAATTCCAAACTGCCAGGATAGTTCCAGAACATATATACCTTTCATGAAGGACGTGGCTTGGGCATAGAACTATGCTTTACGCTCCATGGTTGCATGATCCTTCTAGTACCCAATGTTCTCCCCTGCGCCGCTCCATTTTGTACCTGACTTATTGACGTCGTGTGTAATGTTGATGCTGAACGAAAGCCTGATGCTGAACCAAACGCCGCTGTCTTCTTGATAGAACTCTGTGGCTCATCTGTTGTTTCTGCATTTTGATCTAGGTCCACCGGATCAGGTTTTATGGGCGAGCTCGATAGAAGCACATATCGTGTGTTCTGTGTCTCACTCTCGGGCTCAGTCTTCCTCGGTTTGTTGAGAATGCGTTGGCTCGTTACTTTGTGCTCTGGTATCGATAGTGGTCGAAAGGGACGCGGCGTCGAAGTCTGTACGTTGGAAATGTCATGTAATGGCGCGTTGCTTGTTAAGCATGACTGCGAGCGTTGCAGGCATGGGACTGCTGTGGATGATTCGTGTTCTGACTGCTCGGACATTGCGCTGTTTGATCGTTTGAAGAATGATGTGATGGCACCTTGGCCTGCTGCACGTGGTTTGCCAGGTTTTGCCTTGACTGCCTTGGGTTCTGCCTTGCTGCTCTGTGTACCTTGAGTACTGGCTGATGTACAGATACGCTCTGCCTCTTTTTGCATCGCTTGCAGGTCGCCCAGATCTCGGGCGCTTGTGAATCCTGCATTCATGCTCTGCATTGTGGTCATGGAGGTGGAGTAGCTAGATGTGCGGTTGATCGTGACTGATACGCTTTCTCTCGAGTAAGAGCCCAGGCCATCGATCCTCCGTCGCTTCAGGGCTTGATCTGACCCGTCGCTACCTAGCTTGGAATTTGTGCGCTTCTCGTTCCACGGCGCACCCCAGGTTGGATCATTGCCATCAATCTCGTCTCGCGTTGCTGGGTATTTGTCATCTTCTGGTCGCTCCATTGAATCACGAGCACGATCGAGATCTGCGGTCGAAGGGCAGTCCCTTCGCAGAATTCGTGCTAGGTCGGTGATAATACTCCGTTTAAACGCCAGATCTGGCCCTCGCTCGCTGAAAAACTTCTGCACTTTACGGTCCGAAATAAATCGTGAAAGAGTCGTTTGCTCCTGTCCCGATTGCTTTACAGGACAACTGAGGTAAAGTAACGCTTGGGCACGCGTCATACCAACATACAGCAACCTTCGTTCCTCGTCTTGGTCGTCCGCTCGCGAGTGAGGAATGGAACCATCGTATATGGCGGGCATGAAGACTACAGGCCACTCGAGACCTTTCGCTGCATGGATAGTGGAAATGGTGACCTGGTTTTGCTCTGTGCCCTCTTGATCCGCCGCGCTCGATAATGTGACATTGGCGAGGAATTTCGAAAGGATATCGGCGGCGCTGTCGGGTCGCTGTTCTATGCCTTCTGCCACAGGCAATGCATCGTCCGATATCTCTTCTCCGTTGGCAACGGCTGTGGCCATTTGCGTCGCCTGATTGACGAGCTCCTCGACATTCGCCCAGCGGTCTTGCCAGTTTTCCTTGTGGGTCTGCTTTAGATATGACAGGAACGATATCTTGTTCGAGATGTGAGTTATGAGCCCGAAGAGGTCACACACGTCATCTTTGGCAGGAATCAGCTTTTCCCGAGAACTCAAAATGACGTTGACAAACTGCTCAATGCCCTTTTGTGCTTGTGTAGACACTTTGATTTTTGGCCTTCTTTTTCCTTGAGCAATGTCGAGAACGAGCTTCCAAAGGGTAATCTTGCTCATCTCTGCTTCTTCCAGCAGCGCTTTGACGGTGACATCGCCAACTTTCCGAGAAGGTACATTGATGACGCGCGCTACGGCATCATTATGCTCTGGCTGACTGACAACGCGCAGGTAATCCAGTAGTATCTTGATCTCAGCTCGATCGAAGAATTTGGTACCAGCCACCATACGATAGGGAACCCCAGCTTGTCCGAGTGCTCGTTCTATCTGGAGGGTGAGTGGCGATGAGCGCACTAATATGGCATAGTCGCCAAAATCCAGTAGTCCAGCACTAAGTGTTCTTGTTCTGCATATCTCTTCGACGATCCATTTTGCTTCGACATTGGCCGATACTAGATGGCGAAGAGTGGGCTGTTCGCCAGCGCCATGCGTGGCGATTAGCGATTTCTGTGGCCGGCTCTCGTCCTGCTCAATGACAGCCATGGCCGAATTCAAAATGTAGCCAGATGAGCGGTAGTTGTTCTCCAGATTGATGACGACAGATTCCGGATAGTCAGTGCGCATCCGGAGCAGGTTCTTGATTTCAGCAGATCGAAAGCTGTAAATACTCTGGTCTGGATCGCCAACGATTGTGATGCGCCGAGTCTTTTGAGCTAATAAGCTCATTAACTCATACTGGATGTTGTTGGTGTCCTGGTATTCATCAATAAGCACAGCCTGTATCGTTGAAACGCATGAAGGTGACTTCTTTAGCAGATCGACACAGCGTATTAAGAGATCGTCGTAGTCGAGCAAGTTAGATGCGGCCAAGTGCTCTTGATAAGACGAGTAGATCATGGCAAATTCGTTGTCGTTTGCATTTTTGGCAGTCGCGGCAAAAGCATCTGATGTAACGCCCTGGGCCTTGAGCTTGGAAATCCTCGAACGGGCATGGCCAGGCTCTATGGCATACTGATAACGCGTAACGATGCGTTTGAGGATAGCGGAACTGTCACTAGTATCGGCAATGCCAAAGTTCTTGTCAATTCCAATCTCTTGGCCATAGCGGAACAGAAAGCGACGGGCAACTGAGTGGAAGGTGCCCAATATTAGCTTGGCCTCCAGTTTGTCGCCAACGAAGCCCCGGATCCTCTCCTTCATCTCCCGGGCGGCCTTGATGGTGAAGGTGCATACGATGATGTTCCATGGTTGTAGTCGTTCGTGGTTAATGTGGTACGCGACACGCGCAGTGAGTGTCTTCGTCTTGCCCGAGCCTGGAGGAGCAAGCACCTGCACGACATTCGCAGGGCTGGTGACTGCGCTCTTCTGCGCATCGTTTAGACCATGCAGCAATGCGTCCATGGCCAGTTGCTGCGTGTGTTGCAATTGACAGGATGATATCCACGCTGCCCTGAGCCGGGTGGCGGTGGAGCAGTGGGAAACGCGCTAGAACCACGCGGCACGTGACTATTCTCATCTCATCCAACGCACATACTTACCCGCATCCACCACACATGAACCGAGCCAGCAGCAAGGCCATGGCCCCAATCGCGTAAGGCTTCCGACCCGCGGTATACAATGCCGGTTGAAAATACATGTAGCATCGTTCGCCAAGCACTAGCTCGTCGTATTTTCCCCCGCAATGCGGAGGACATCCTTGCTCGGCCATCTTTTCTCCGTCAACCGGGCCTGAAGCAAGGAAGATCAGCGTCCGAATTGCATGTATCCAGCAAGCCTGCCGATGCAAGATGGAGCTCTTCGCAGCTAGCCAAATCCATCATGTATACCGAGAAGCTTATAAAAGCTGACATGTACCCATGATCTTGAATGACATCCAGAAGACTACTGGGCGCTTCATTTCGAGGCCATGTTGGGACCACGCCTACTTCTTACCTCAGTCCTCGCCGGCACTATCGTCTCGGCGGGCTACTTGCCAGAAGTTCCGAGTGCGGCTACTTTTCAGTACAATGCACGAAGGCAGGCTACCAACGGCTCATCGCCTTCGTTCAATGGCCCGTATAGTACTCGCGGACGAGACATTGTCGACCGCAATGGTCAGACAGTATCATGGGCAGGCGTCAATTGGCCTATGAGCGGTATGTACTAGCTCTCTGTTGTCGATACCGGCCAAAAATGTGCTCACTGTGCCCATAGGTGAGACCATGATTCCAGAAGGTCTCGAGTGGGCGTCCGCCGATGAGATCCTCTCAGACATTGCGGGCGTCGGGTTCAATTACATCCGCATGGGCTATGCCATCGAGATGATTGATCAGGTCTATGATCGGAACGGCGAGGATGTGCCCTTGGAAGTTGGCCTCATAAACGCCCTGGGGTACGTCAATGGCACCAAAGTCACCAAGGAAATCATCGCCAAGAACCCCGGGTGGACGGCACAGACCACTCGCTTCGAGATCTGGAGTGACATTGCACGCATTGCTGCTACCAAAGGCATCTTCATCAGCCCAGATGTGCACACTGGCAAGGCGCAGTGGTGCTGCTCGCACATTGACGGTACTGCCTGGTTTGATGATTTGCACTTCAACGCCACTCATTGGCGTCGTGGCCTTTCCTACGTTGCAAACTGGGCAAAGGCACATCCCAACATTGTCAGCATGTCTCTTCGCAATGAGCTTCGCGAATCATGGAATGTCACAGACCTGTACTACAACTGGGATACGTTGGTTGGCAACATGACGGCTGGTGCTGATGCAATCCACGAAGCCAACCCAGACCTCCTTATCCTCTGGGGAGGTATGCAATATGGCCAGGACCTTTCGGCTTTGACTAGTGGAAAGAATATCCTCACCGCACCATGCTACAAGTGCACGGCTATTCGTGACGCTGCTAGGCGTGAACCGGTTTACTTCAACCTCGATGACCACCCATGGGCCGACAAACTCGTCTGGGAACTTCATCTCTACAGTATGAGCGAGGATATCGATACCGGCACATGCGATATCGTGAAAGCCAACTTCTATCGTAATGGATTCAACGCACTAGGTATCGAAGCGCCACCTGCTTGTAACATCACGGGCGACTGCCCCAAGGCTGTACGTGAGACACCAGTCATTCTGAGCGAGTTTGGCAGTGCCCAAGACGAGACTCTCTTCAACAATACTCTCCAGAACTGCTTGAAGGAGTACACCATCGAGCACGGCGTAAGCTGGATGATGTGGGCCATTGCGGGCTCTTACAGAATCAGATCCGGAGTACAAGGTTTCCCCGATACGTGGGGTATGACCAACTACGATTGGTCGGGATGGAACTACGAACGGGGTATCGAAGAGTTCTGGAAGCCATGGGTAAAGGCGATGAACACGACCAAGATTGTCTAAAATGTGGGGATAAATTTGTCGCAGTCCGCGTTGAGCCTGCGCTCTGTCATCGGGAAAACTAAAATACGTTGCATCCAAACAGATGACAATGGGGCCAGGTTCTTGGAACATTTAATGTGTAGTTTGGTTATTGAACTAATGATTCTACGATAGTCAATGTGTGTTTACAAGTAAAAACCGTGTTTTGTTCTCGTGCTCTTCATGCGTTGCACCATTGGCGGTATCTCAGTGCAAGCATGAATTTTTTGACCGCCTAGTAGAAAAATTTGAGAACAGAACGAGTAAGCGCGAACCCGAACATTCTTTTAGAACGAATCAGAGGTGAGTGATATTCTACATATTAGTCTTGATGAAGAAGAGTGACGACATTGGCGATTGCTCTTATCGCCTCACGTGCTGCCGAGGTATCCGGTGTTGGTTCGTAGTACAAAGACAACCTCTGTAAAACTACTTGCTGGCCACGCCCCTCATATGTAGCAACTATGCACGTGAAGGGCAGAAAATCAAGCAAAATGCTTGTAGGAATGCCATCTGCGCACTACAATACGAGAGTTACTCGTATCTCCGTTGACCGTAACTCTTCGGCCGAGGGGGCTCCTCTGCGTCACCGGGGAAATGTGGCATCGGAACTCTTGGTCTCCGGTTGGTGACAGCGTAAATTCTTTGGCTGCATCAAGAGTGTACGAACCATGAAATTGAGTTTTGCATTGCACCCACGATTTGCCTGCGCAAGCAAACATAGATCAGCACCAGATACCTTCTGTCAATACAAGAAAGAATGCTGGGCGGCGGTCATCTGTTGTACTCAGGATGCTTACCCTCCAATGCCACGCACTTTGTTTTCGCATTTGGGCTTACTTGTGACGTGTGCTACACGTGAAAGGATCGACCAAGTAGTCGAACGATTCCAGAACTGAGATGATATATGGGACATGTTTGACACGATCTGGACCCGCAACCGACATGACCGTTCGCATGTATTCGTCCGCCACTTTTCGCTGCCTGGCGCTGTTAGCCATCCGGCGCTTCCACCTTCGCTGACACCAGGACCTGAATGCATTCCCTGCGCCAACGTTATATGTCACACAAACTGCCGCCATCTTACAGCGATCGACCCAAAGACTCTTCTTACTCAGGCTCTCTGACATTGCTAGTATCACCAGTATTATATTGCCTAATGCTCCCGCAATTATGTCTTCCTGTTTCTCGGGTCACCCGGAACGTTGGCACTTCCACGATCCAAGGTCACATATTTCAGGCAGAGTGAACAGGCTCGGCCAAGTTGCCGTTCGTTTTCATCAAACTCCGAAACGTCTTGAGCGCTGGTTCAAAAATCAACAACGCAACCCAGTGAGCAAGAAACACGCAACCAATACACCACAACCCTACATTCCCCACAGCCAACAAGCGGATCTTCCCTCGCCAAGACTAAACATTGCGATTCACATTTGCGGTTCTAGAGGGGATGTGCAACCTTTTATTCCAATCGCCAAACTACTTCAAGCACCCCCATATTATCACCGGGTACGAATATGCACGCACCCAGCCTTCAAAGATTTCGTGGTAAGTAAAGCAGACAATCTACTCGTATTCATTCATACAGCATCATGCGGACTTACGCGCTAAAGGAAAGCAATGGCCTCGAGTTCTTTTCTATTGGGGGTGATCCAGAAGCTCTCATGGCGTACATGGTGAAGAACCCGGGCTTACTTCCAGGTATGGAAAGCATTAGGGCTGGCGAAGTGAGCAAGAGGCGGAAGGAGATGGCAATGATACTCGAAGGCACATGGCGTAGCTGCATCGAAGCTGGAGACGGACTAGGACCTAAGGTCACTGCAGTGGATGTGGAACAGACAGAGAGCTTATTTATTGCGGATGTCATCATTGCCAACCCACCGTCCATGGGCCATATCCACTGCGCAGAGAGGCTAGGGATACCTCTACATATTGTTTTCACCATGCCATGGTCACCAACAAAAGCTTTCCACCATCCACTAGCCGCGATGGAATACGGTGAGGCAGATGAGTCTTCAGCAAACTACGTCAGTTTCGCTATCATGGAATTGATGACCTGGCAAGGGTAGGCTCTCGCTCATATCAACTTTGACAAGAGGCTGCTAACCGTACCAGACTAGGGGATCTCATCAATAGATTCAGAACACGTACCTTGAAACTCGATATCGTAAGAATTCTTCTCGGCGTACAGCTTTGCTTAGACTAACCATTTTACGCTATGCAGATAAGCCCTCTTTGGGGATTCCAGCTGCTTCGAAGGCTAAAAGTCCCCCATTCCTATCTCTGGTCACAAGCCCTGATTCCTAAGCCATCGGATTGGCCTGAGCATCTCAATGTGACAGGGTTCTCATTTCTGAAAGCTGGCTCATCTTACTCACCACCAGACGATCTAACTGCATTCCTCGAAAAAGGCCCTACGCCAGTCTACATTGGCTTTGGATCTATCGTTGTAGATGACCCTTTACACCTGACAAATCTCATATTCGAAGCTATCAAGCTAGCTGGAGTGCGTGCCATTATCTCGAAGGGGTGGGGAGGTATAGGCGCAGACAAGGCGCCTGAGAATGTCTACATGATTGGCAATTGCCCTCACGTGAGTATAATAAACGTACAAGCTAGAGGTTCTAGATAAAAAACTCACACACAAAAAGGACTGGCTTTTCCAACACGTCTCCTGCGTGGTTCATCATGGAGGCGCCGGCACAACGGCAGCGGGCATAGCACTTGGAAAACCCACAGTTATAGTACCGTTCTTTGGAGACCAGCCATTCTGGGGGAAAATGGTTGCCAAAGCAGGCGCAGGTCCGAAACCTATTCCCTATAGACAACTCACGCCGGAAGGCTTGGCCGAGAGTATCAAGTTTGCATTGAGACCCGAAGTCGATATTGCTGTCAAGAAGATGGCGGCTTGTATTGCAGAGGAAGACGGAGCTTCAGAAACGGTCCAGGATTTCGAGAGCGCACTAAGGGTAGATGAGATGAGGTGCCATGTCTGTCCGGAACGGCTAGCAGTATGGAGGGATAAGAAATCGGGGGCACATCTTAGCGGACTCGCTGCATGTGTCCTTGCAAAGCATAAACTGATAGATCCAAATGATCTACGACTGTAAGTGTTTTATTAGTTGCTGGGACTCAGAGGTATTCACAAGCTGACTTAGTATAGGCTCCGCCATAGACAGTGGTGTAAGACTTTATTCGCAACTCTAATTATTGTATGCTAACAATAAAAGATATCCACGAAGGAGCAGAAGCACCATTGATTGGCGCCGTAGCTGCAGCTTCCAGCTTCTTTACCAACCTTGCAATCAACACGTCAGACTTTTCCCACCGTCTGAAAAAACTAAAGTTACAGGGTATCGATTCCACAGGGACGACAAATACTCAGAAAAACTGGGGACTAGACGAGGGGCACAAAGACCAAGCCATAAGTCCCATTTGGTTAGCTCACATGGCCAGTATGATGGCAACCAAATCCCTGAAAGATAACTGGCAAGATGACTTTGACAAAATGCCAGACGCACAAGAAATAGCAAAAATCCACGCTCTCCTAGCTGCCCAAGAAGCCGAGCATGGACGCGCCTACCAAATAACCAGCGCAACTCTCCACTACGCAGGAGACGTAACCAAGACGTACCTAAAAGGTAACATTCCAGATATCCATTATTCCTCTTTTTCTTTTCCAGCAATTTTACAGTTTCTAACCACCAAAAAAAAACAAAGCCCCCGTGGCTCTCTTCTACAACGTAGCCAACGGCTTCCGCAACTACCCCTCACACTCCATAGCCAACGAGCGGCACCGACGCCGCGACGAAATCGTCGGTCTAAGCAGCGGTCTAGCCGTTGCAGGCAAAGTACGTACTTGCACCCTATTTTCCACGCAAAAAAGAGGAAAGGCATAGTAGCTAACCGAACCTTTTACTGCTCTGCTACCAGGAATTCCGATTAGGTCTCTACGACGCATTCACCGGCCTAGTAAAACACCCCTACCTCGGCACCAAACTCGAGGGTCCCCTGGGCTTGCCCAAAGGAATCGGTAGGGGAATCGGAGGTTTCGCATGCCACGCTTCAGCCGGTAAGCTCTCTCTCTCTCTCTTTCTCTCTTTCTCTCTTTCTCTCTTTCTCTCTTTCTCTCTTTCTCNTCTCTCTTTCTCTCTTTCTCTCTTTCTCTCTTTCTCTCTTTCTCTCTTTCTCATCTCCCCTCTTTTTTTTCCTTCCATCAAGAATCCAAGCGCTACTAAATCAGTTCTTTCTTTCTAATATACAAAACAGCTATTTGGGGCTTACCCGGCTACACCCTCAAAGGAATCGAATGCGCACTATCCAAACACAGAGTCACCCCGCTTCAGACGGAGTTGTATCTTATTCGGCTAAGGCAGGGTGCGCGGGATTTGGAGCTGGCGTCGGATGAGGAGCGGGGGAATGTGGTGGCGAGGTGGAAGGGTATGCAGCGCCGGGCATCGAGTGGTTTGGTGTGAATGCGGATTGTATTGTATTTTGGTTTTCCATACTCGGGGTATTGTTTGGGATGGGGCTGGATCTGAGACTTTTCACAAGACGAATAAGTCCGTTGGGATTGTGGCGTTTTCATATAGCCGGATGCTGCAGTGATGAGGATTACACTGCAGTGCCCTCCCCTCAGCAATTTGTGACATCTTTACTATAGATGACAACTCTGAATTTAAACAGTATTGTATAGAAGCAATAATCGAAGCGATATCGTTTCGTGGAGTCCATTATCTACAAGATATGGCGGGTCAGAGCTAGTATGTGCAATTTGATTTGGAGTAAGAGAAGAGCAAAGTTTCGGCACGACGCCTGTATAAATCACATATCAGACTAGCACATTCACATGAGAACAGCATCACGCCAAGAAAGTCATCTACGTCTTGAATAAGATATGTGTGGATAGTATTAATGAAAAAAAAACAGGCTACAACTGTCATCCGTATGGTATACATTTAACATTGCGTCCTACTTCCGTTCATCCTGTAGAGCCATCAACGCATCATGCTCTAAACCATACTAGGTCATGGTCAAATTGAGAAAAGAAGTAAGCTAATAAAAGCCCACGTGTATGATATACGCCTACGCCTGTCAATGCGTAAGACAATTAGGAGATGAGGAAATGAAAAAAAAACAAGCCTTTGTAGGATAGAGCGAAGAGGTAAATTGTTGCATCATCCATCCGAACTCCGCATAGAAAAGAAAGCCCAGCGTCCGGTTAGTGACGAAAATCTGGAGGGGCCCTTAGAGAAGAAAGAACTATTGGCAAGATATCACACGCTCAGCTGCTTCGGCGCATGCCTGTAGGATGCACATAGTCGAAATGGCGTCCGGTAGCGAAACCCCCAATATGATCTAAGAGAGATTTAGGAAGCGTAGACTCCCATAGTACTCTCTGTTCTTCGAGCATCTGTTTCTTTCGCTCTTCGCCTAGTTGTTTGGCGCTGTGCGAATGCATGCTTTGCAATAGCAGCGGCGCGCTAGGGCTATTGGGTGATGTAGCAGGCTCACTTTGAGTATCTATCCAAGTGCTCGATCTGATGTGCCCATGTTTGGCGGGCACAGGCATGGAGGCATCATCGTCTTGGCTGCCCAGTCGTTCCAATCCAGGTTTCCTCTGCACGCACCGTGGCTGTTTGGCAACGTCTCGCTTTTCTTGTTCGTTTGCCATGATGGCATCATCGGCTAATTCAGAAGACGCCGGCTTTTGTAGAACCAAAATATTTCCTGTCAGGGTCGAAGGTGAAGATTCAGAGGGTGGAGTACCGCAAGTACCCTATACCCAAGCATAGGATTAGTAACTTTGAGGAGCGTAGTGTGCGGGCTGCCGGCCTTGTTAGTACTGCTATATATATAATGGATAGTCCTGAATTTTGCAAAATTCCAGGAAGTTCAGTTGTGATACGTACTGGTGAGTTGAGCATGCTTTGGCGCTTGTTCCTGCTCTTTTTGATATGGCTCTTCAGCGCACTTGAGTCAAGGGGTTTGAGGAGCTCAAAACTGCAAAGTAGTTCGCCAGAAACCGACATGACGGCACCCCAGTTGTCAAATTCACCACAGTACTGTACGGTGTTAGCTGAATTCCGCGCTGAAAAGAGATAACAAGCGTCTTACGTTTGGCGCAGAAAACACAGTCACCAACACTCGGTCTGTGAAGAACTCGTAACCGTCTTCCACAACCATGTGGGCTCTGCAAACCAGATCGAAGTCGTGTCGCGCCAGGAATTCCATAATGACCTTTTTGCCAAAGCAGTAACTAACTCCACGTTCATTGGATTCCCAGTCGTTCTCCATGTCGGCCGGATCACTCCATAACAGGTCGTTGAGTAGACCATAGTCCGGCACGTCAGTAGGTCGCGCAATTTGTCTAATGTCGTCCATGTGTGACAGACTGGGCGACAGTCCGCCGTGTACACAGAAAATCTTTTGGGCTACAATGGCCGCAATAGGTAGCGTATTGAAGGTATCGACAAACGCCTTCCAAACCTTGATATTGCACCTTCTCTTGCATTCGTCGTAGAAACCGTATACGCGTGTGACGTTGGCGCACTCGTGGTTACCGCGCAACAGGAAGAAGTTCTCGGGGAACTTGAGTTTGTAGCAGAGGAGCAGAAGAATGGTTTCCAGACTCTGCTTGCCGCGGTCGACATAATCGCCTAGGAAAAGGTAGTTTGAATTTGGTGGGAAGCCGCACATTTCGAACATTCGAATCAGGTCGGTGTATTGTCCGTGGATGTCGCCCACAATCTTTACGGGCGCAGCAAGCTCCAGCAAAGCTGGCTGGCTCAGGAATACTTCTCGAGCAGCTGAGCAAATGGCGAAGATTTCAGCATTCTTCAAGCTAACTGTCTTTGTGACTTTTCCAGCGTATGCAGCGTCGAGCAGTCGCTGAATCATGTCATCGAGATCCATTGTCTTGAGCGCGCTGATCTCCATGGGCGAGCCCGAGCCATCTGTTGGCGCTGGAGGCTCCGGCAGCCGGGGGATAGGCTGGTCTTTCTTTTGTAAGATGGACTCGCCCGGCTGGGCCGAAGCCGAAGGTTGTGCGGCTCCCGTGGGGGGAACATCAGAGACGTGGTCTACTTCGCCAGTTCGCTGGGCCTTGGTGACTCCCTCGTGGCCTGTTCCAAGCGTTGCGCCGTGAACGGGCGAGGGGGGTGCTTGGGGCACGTCTGCGTCGGACTCGGGCTTGTCTGTGGGTTCTGTCGAGCCATCGGCGGGCGCTGGCGCGGGGGGCGGTGCGGGGGCTGAAGCTAGCGAGTTTCTTCGCGAGCCTTTGGACTTTGTGGAAGCGGCATCCGACTTGTCCACCTTGCCGTTGGTATCGCCAATGCCGGCAACTGAGTTTCGTGGACTGTCGGACTTGCCGGTGATGGGGATCTTATTGCGCAATGAGGTACGCAGCGAGCGAGTTGAGTCTTTGGTGTCGGATCTCTCAAAGGAGCGGTAGTACTCGCGGCCGAGAGGGACGCCGTCGGCACCGCTCTTGTCGCCTTTCTTGTCCTTGCCGCTTGATTGTTGGTTGCCCATGGTGGGTGGAGGTGGCGTGGCTTAAGCGAGCGTGTGTCGAGACGGGCGGGGTGTGTATATGGTAGTCTTGTGAGGTCGGTTGATGCTTCTCACATGAAAGAGGGAGGAAACGGCGGCCGAGCTGGGGAGGGGAGTGCAGGACCAAGCCGGGGATGGCCTTGCTCGCTGGCTGGCTGGTTCGCTGGCTCGCTCTCTCCGTCAGCTCCGTGCCAGTGTCTGCTGGGAGCGAGGACACCAAGCAAGGGCGCAGGCAGCAGTCGAGGTTATGTGTGGTGGTGGTGGTTGAGTTGGGTTGGGCAAGAGGCAGAGGCTGTGCTAGGGCGGTCGGTAGAGGCGGGCAAGAAAAGACAGGAAGCGGGCCTCCGTCGGCGCAGTCGTGATCTGCCTGGACAAGCTGTGGCAGATGAGGCTAGGCTGGGCGACGGGGGAGCGATCGTCTTCCAGCGTGCGCGCCAGATCGGTGGTGTGCAGTGGACAGGCGGGTTGTTTGGGCAGTGCTCACGGACTGGGGCTGGGGCCGGGCGAGGGCAACGATGATAACGATGACTTGAACCGCTATCTGGGCTAGCAGGGCGGGGGGAGCCAGCGACGATGTCAGCCGCAAGGTCTAGTCGGCGTAGGCCCTGCCGCGTCGTTGAATGGCAGCGTTGGGTGCGCTGTTAGCGGGCAGGCGAGCGCTGACTAGTAGGAGCCCGGGCTGCCGCGACGGCGCCGCAGTGCTACGCAACCTGGACGGGGCGGGCGTGCGTGCTGCGACAGGGTGGCTGTGGTGCGCTGCGGTGCTGTGCGGGTGCTAGTAGGATGTCGTGTGGAGACTGCGGCCTTTACTGATACAACAAGCACGGGACCAGACGGGTGGAAGAAGAAGAGAGGAGAGAGAGAGAGCGAGCGCAGACGGAAGAGAAAAACAGTCGACAGCTTCCACAACGCGACGTCGCCAAGATTGCGGGCAAGGATTACAAGCCCTTGCATCAGAGAGAGCCGCTGGGCACGCAACGTGACCTATCGCTCCTCTTGCAACCGCCCAGCCTTCACCCATGGCCGAGCTGGCACAATGGTAGGCCACTCCTCTCCTCGTCGCCTCACCCTCCTCTCCCAATTGGCGCAAGGCGACTGCGCAGAAAACCACGCTGCACGCCTACCGAACACATTCGCCCAACTGGCAACCCCGCCAACGACATCATGGGGGCCCACTGTCAGCACTCCGTCCGGGCTGCCGACCATCCATCCATCCACCCACCCAGCCCGACCAACGGATCCTCCGGCCACAACCCTTACCCTACACGTGTTCTGTACATATACTTATATACAATATGTACATGTACATGTGCCTCCTCCCACAGGTCATCCTCTGCCCTTGCACCTGCCACTCTCTCTTCCATTGGCAGCCCAAGGGGTCATCAGGCTGCTCGTCATGCACATACCATGCGCCTCAAACACGAACCACTTGCGTCGCAAAAACAAATCACCAAGCCGGCATTCACTCGTCTGGTGTACACCGACATTTGTATTCATGGCACCAACCCTACAGGTACTACTCTACTTACTGCAAACCTGCCTGCCCGTCAACCGTCCAAGCCCTGGCGCCAAGGGCGGAACTCTTGGACGCCCTTCGTCTTTGCAAAATATTTCCATGCCCCCCACTGCCTGCGTGCCTGTGCTTGCCGTCCATGGTCGCGCCGTTGAAGCCTTTAAAGTTTGGTACCTAGGTTAACGTGGATGGCCTAGTAACCGTGTTAGCAGGTGCATGACGCCACGCAATACATCCCACACATACCTTCTTGTTGGTGTACGCCTCCAGCCCAGCTTCACCGCACTCCCTGCCAATCCCGCTCTGCTTGACGCCACCAAACGGAACACGCAAGTCAGAGTCATTGCTGGAATTGATCCAAACCATGCCTGCTTCAATTCGTCGGGCTACACGGTGTGCCTTGGTAATGTTTTCGGTAAACACTGCTGCACCCAGTCCATACGTAGTGTCGTTTGCACGTCGGATGGCCTCCTCTTCTTCCTTGAACGAACTGATGGCCACAAACGGGCCAAACACTTCCTCACGGTAGATCTTCATCGAGTCCTTGACATCTTTGAAAATAGTAGGTGCCACGAAAAAGCCCTTACCACCTACGTTCTTGTACGCCTCGCCGCCTGCAACCAGCGTGGCTCCCTCTGATTTGCCCGATTCAACGTACGAGAGCACGCGCTCAAACTGCGCCTTGGTCACCTGCGGTCCTTGGAACGTGTCGTCCTTGAATGGATCTCCAACAATGGAAGCCGTCTTGACGTAGTTCTTGAACGCCTCGACAAACTTTTCGTAAATGCCCTCCTGCACCAGTATCCTTGATGTTGACGTGCACACCTGGCCTTGGTTGTACCTGGAAATTGTCAGTCAATCAAATGCAACCAAGAAGCAGAGGTATGTCCTACATGATACCCGTGTGCGCCCACTTGACTGCTTGATCGAAGTCTGCGTCATCGAAAACAATCAAGGGCGACTTTCCTCCGGTTTCGAGCGTAATGTTCTTCATGTTAATAGAAGCCATCTTCATAATCTCTTTTCCTGTTGCCGTCGATCCGGTAAAGGCAATCTTGTCCACGTCAAGATGCTGTGCCAGCGCAGCTCCAGCCGTCCTGCCCCAGCCATTGAGGAAGTTGACGACACCTGGAGGGAAGCCGGCTTCTTTGACCAGGTATCCGAGATACAGAAGGGAAAGTGGCGTCTGCTCAGCAGCTTTCATGACTACTGTGTTACCGGTACAGAGCGCAGGGCCCAGCTTCCACGCCGCCATAGCCAAGGGAAAGTTCCAACTGGATGGAGTCAGTACATTCACGTCAAATTCCCCAAAATCAAAGCATCTTACGGGATGATCTGTGCACAGACACCGACTGGCTCCAGGACAGTGTAGGCTAGCTTGGCGGGCGAGGTGTTGATGACGGTGCCATGAATCTTGTTGGCATATCCAGCGTAGTACTTGATGGTGCCGACAACTTCGCTCAAATCTTCGTTGAGCGAGACCAAGTAGGGCTTGCCATTGTCCCATGTCTCGATGGTCGCCAAAGTCTCTCTGTGCTCATCGATCAATTGGGCAAACTTGAACAGTAGATCAGCTCGGACATTCGAGTCCATATCCCGCCACTCCGGGTTGTTCAGGGCTTTGCGTGCTGCTGCTACTGCAATATCGACATCTTCTGGGCCAGCCGCATAGACGGATGTGATCTCGCTCTCATCGCTGAACCAAATTAGCTTAGCGTACACAGCGAAGACAGGGTGTTGCAGGGGGGGTAAGCATACCTGGGGTTTATGGTTGTGATGGTCTCACCAGACTTTGACTTGACAAACTCATTGTTGATGAAGAGACCTCTTGGCTGCTTGTACTTACGGCCATTTGGCGCTGTAAGGTCAACGAAGAGGTCAGACATGTTGTTGGTGTGAGTCGTGTAGAATTTCCAACTCGGACTGATGCTAGCACCAGGTACCCTGTATAGCAATGGTCGAAGAGAAAGCGATGTACGAGGGCGGCGGAGTGAAGCTCTGGTCAAGGCCGAGTAGATACGGGTCATATCCTTTGTTGACGCGGACATGGCCAGCTATCTATAGTGTGCAGATATCTATTACGCCGGCCAGTGATGAGTGCGGTAGTACCATCGGCATCTGCGGACCCCGCCATGAGGCAGTTAGGGCTAGCCCCACCGCATGCAACTGCCTTTTTCAGACGCCTGTCCTCTGTTGTCTACCTCTACTACACATTTCCAGCATCCGGTATGCTTGTCCTTAGGTACACCCAGTAGGCTCGGCTCTACTCTTCTTGCTGGTCGAGGACAAAGTAGCGCCGAAAATGGTATACTAGCCAATGCTTCGACTTGGTCATTATCATCACCTGAACCCCATCCTGGTCTCTCCGGCCTCTCAGCGCGCGCTGTAAGTACTGCTGTACTTATCGTTTGTTTTTTTTCTGCATGACTTTCGTATTACACATCCTCCGAAACCCTCAGGTCATTTGTCATACTAAGCTATCTCTTCATGCCGATGAATGCCATTGGTCCATCCATCGTACACTCGACTCGCTATTACTATATTGTATGCATCATTGATAGAGTGGATGCATTCGGCAACTCTTCATTTTATTGGACTCCTGCGTGCCACCGTCGACGCAGCTGACGCTCTGCATTGTTTTCGCGTACAGTTATACATACTTTGGTATGCCTATCTGGTCCATAAACGAGAACCACACTCGGGGTATGCTGCTAGGTGATTGGAGCGCACAGCAGTCGTCACGCTCGGGCGCTCGTCATTGGCAGACAGCAGCGGAAGCTACCCCACCATGCTTCCCGCTCGCGTCATTGTACATATCGACTTCCAAAACTTCTGCCCTCATGCCGATCGCTTTGGAAGAAAAAAAATTCCCTGATCAATGCCACCCGCCTAGCGCCCAGTTAAATCCAGGGAAACCCGCTGTAGGGAAGAAAAGGAAAAAATAAACCGTATAACAATGTCAGCCTTCCAGAAAAGAACCGTCAAGGTTCACGTGCTCAAACTGCCGCAGATTCTCCTCAAGCTTCTCGTCACTTGCCCATACTCCACAATGGACATGACCCGCGACCCACTGTCCGCCTCGCCCCCCGATGCCGAGCGCCCAGACGCCTCGATAGACGTCGCTCACTCGCTCGAGTACTGGAATAGCGTCTCGGCCGACGTGAACGGCATGCTTGGCGGCTTCCCCCAGACCACGCGCATTGATTTGCAAGGCTCGTCCAACTTCCTCACAAAGCTGCGCCGCGGCAGAGCCAGTGCTGCCTCCAAGGAACCCCTGCCGCCTCTGCAGCGTGTAGCCGACTGTGGCGCGGGTATCGGCCGCATAACAAAGGGTTTGCTGCTGGGCGTGAGCGAAAAGGTCGATGTTGTGGAGCCCGTCAAGAAGTTTACCGACGAGCTGGTGCAAAGCATAGCCAGCGAGGAACAAAAGGGGGGAAGAGGCCAGTTGGGTGAGATCATCAATCTCGGTCTACAGGACTGGATACCAGAGCCTGGCGCGTACAATGTCATTTGGAACCAGTGGTGTCTCGGACACTTGACCGACGCACAGCTAGTTGTCTACCTCGAGCGCTGCAAGCAAGGGCTCAAACCAGCAACAGAAGGCCAGGATACATTTAGAAGCTGTATCATTGTCAAGGAAAACATGTCGACGGACATCAAGCAAAAGGATATCTACGACGACGAAGACTCAAGCGTCACACGGTCCGACGCAAAGTTCCGTATGCTCTTCCAACAGGCTGGCCTGAAGATTGTTGCCACAGAGCAGCAGAAAGGCATGCCGAAGGAGTTGTTCCCCGTGCGTATGTACGCACTCAGATCGGAGTGAACATAGGCCAAAGAAAAAGCATGATACCCAACCCTTGTTTTCCCTCCTCAAATTAATGTAAAATAGAATGCGGGGTCAAGACGATATATACAATCACACAATGAGTTAAACCCCTTCACCACCAACCCGTCTATACCTCTCCCGTCTCCGTGAATCTCTGTACCACGCCCAGAGAAAACACCGGCGCACCCGGCACCGCCTGATGCACCGGCAACCTCCCCACAACCACCTTTTTCTTCTTCATAATCTTTGGCTTAGCCGACTCCTCATCTCCCGCGTCCTGACCCCCAGACGTATCCATGACATCTTCAAACTCCTCTTCTTCCTCTTCCTCCTCATCCCCTTCTTCCTCATCGTCCTCTTCCTCGTCCCCTTCATTCGCATCTTGCGCATCCTCCGCAGGGTAACTCGCCGGATACGTTTGCCGCAGATACTTCATATCGAACACCTCCTGGTGCGCATGCTGCCAAATATCTTTAATCGCATCCCCCGAAAGCACATCCTTGACGCGCGTCGTAGGTATGGCTTCGGAGTCGAGGCGCTCAGACTCTGGGACCCCCGCATCGTCGTCATCATCGTCATCTTGTTCCTTTTCGCTTTTTTCTTGCTTGCTGGAGACTTTCTTGTTCATTTCTACGCCCCATTCTTCCGGGACGTATAGCCACTCTGCTGCCTTGCGGATCTTGTCTTCGACCCAGCCTTCTTCCATGGGCTCCAGTCGCTTCCGCAGCAGCGTCCCCGCCATACCCGCCGCCATGCCGCCCCCCGCGTTCATCGGGTACAGCGGGTTTGGAAACGGATGCAGAGCTTGGAATTTCTCCGTGTTGGTCGGTAGCGGCTGTGTCGCAATGAGGCGCCGTCGGACGTCGCGTTCCACAAACACCTCGTTGCCTCCGGCGTCGAGAACGTGGTTGCCAGCCGCGTCTTTGGACGGGATCCGCTGTTTCTGCGTGACGAGCTTATTTTGGTGCCGGAAGCCGCCGTTGATGAGGAGGTGGATGGAGGTTATATAGTTTGTTACCATTGTGGTTGCGCGGTGAATTTGAGGCCTGTGGGGAAGAGGGATATTAGTTCTTGTATGTTACTACTTGGGGACCTGATGGCGCTTTTCAAATGAATCTAAATAAATCAATTCGCAAATTTCACATTCCTTCTCTTCTCTTTTCTTTTTTTTGGCGTAAACATTGTGTCGTACCCATAAACATACACAATGCAGGCGCAAACCGGGTCTAACAAAAACGCGACACCGCCTCGCAACTGCACAAAGAACAAGCATGCCCATCTCCTCTCTCCCCACACTTACCAGTCAACAGCCTCCCCTCGGCTCATCTTGAACTGCATCTCGGCTTGTAGTCGATCCATGGTCTTGATCATGGGCATCAGCTGGCTACGCAGTTGGTCCAGCAGTCGAATGTCATCTCGGTCCGGCGCGCCCTGGAAGTTTTGATTCATCTTTTTTGGTTGCCTCTGATTTCCTTGCTCTTTCTTTGTATCTCTATTTCGCGCTTAATAGTGGGGGTCTCAGATTACTTGAGAGGAGAGTGGGTTCTTTTTTCCGAGTTGATTGTGGGAGGGAAGAGAGAGGGTTGGAGTCAAGGGCAATACTGAAGGTACTGGAAGCGGATTGGTTGGATGTATGAGCATTGGGCGCTTGTGAGGATTGGGGTTAGTGAGCTTGGCAGATTGATACACATGTCGATTCATCTTGTTCTTGTCTATAGTCTTAATGTACACATGGAAATTCTTATGATACTAGTAATTGATATAAAGACAAATCATTCATTCTTCGTATCGGTCAGTGACCGTATTGTCATATCTACATAAAAGTTCCTTGATCATATCGACATGCCTGGGTATTATCTTTCACCAAACCCTCCCTTTGCTCAATTGTCCCGAGATATTGTCCATTACCAGCATGTTGCAATCCGGCCAAAGAAAGAAGAAAAAAAGTTGAAACAAATGTCTTGACCGTTTCCGAGACATATGATTATGCGCCCAGGCTTGCGCCGTTCTGTTGTAGTAGTATTTGTAATCATGCTAAGCCGCCGTCTGTTATGCAAAGAGCTCAAATTGAACGAATGAGGGTATAAGGAAATGTCAAACGCTTGAACGCAGCAGAACGCCGTAAAAAAGTTCCCAGAAAATGACAAAACGCATTAGGAACGATAAGGTGTAAAAGTCTCCTGGACCTTTGGAGCACAGCTCGAAAGAAACGAAGAATAATCAGACACTGACGGTGCGTCGAACGCCCATCTCAGGCTTTTGCGCGTACCCAATCAGAAGTTTGAAGCTTGTGCCACGCTTCTCGCATTCGCCGATGAGGCTTTCGTCGCGCCAGATGCTGTTCTCGAGCATAGTTCCTGAAGCTGCGGCACCAGGTGCTCCGGCTTCAGGAAGAACTAGCGATTCGTAGCAACGGGAGTACCACCACCGACCGACGCGAGCCACCATGTCAGTGATGTCGTTGTTGGTAGATTCTGATGCCGAAGACGTGTTGAGAAGATCAGAAAAAGAAACCCCGGGCTTGGGTCCACCAGGTGAGGCCATGTTGTTGCCTGTCTTTGTTGTTGAGCTTACTGTGCTGTCTTTCCTTATAGTAGCAGGTGCCTTCATGTCTTCGAGGTTGGGCAATTTTCCGGCAACAGGGACACCAACAACACAGCGGTTGCACTCGACGAAGCCTTTGCGGCCAATGCCAGCCATGACCTCGTCGCTGATATTGCGGAGCGAGATGTTTTCATCTGCTACCTGCATCCTCATCTTCAGACCGCGGACGGCACGGCGCGCCCGGTTGCCCATATTGACAAGATCCATATCGAGGACGTTGAATTCGAGGTAGCCACCAGGACGCAGGACGCGCTTGGCTTCCGAAAGGACGAAGTGGTGCTCAGAGGAAGGAAGTGCAGTCGGAAATCGAAGCACGACGCATGCAAAGAAATGCATAGGGAACGGGAAAGCTTTGCTGAGAGAGGGATGGCAGATGTGGCGGTGGTTACCGAGAGTCGACCAAGCCTCAGCCGCACCCTCAGATGACGTCGTCGGAGATGGATCAGGCCCCATGTCATACACAGTCGCCTCAGGGTAGGTCAGTGCACAGTAGTAAGACCAGTCTTTGCCGAGCCCATCAATGACCAGAACACGGTCCTCTTTTGGGTTCTTGAGCTCAAAGTGAATTGGGCTAAACAAGACACGGCCGAAGGAAAGCCACTTGCTTATCATCAGAGCACCGAAGCGAAGATTTGCCATGGATAGCAATCCGTCCGCTTGATTCTCAGCAATGTCCATAAGTTGCGAGTCTCTATACCGGCTTGTAGCGGCACTAGTGCGGTCTTTACTTGATTGAGAGGCGATGGTGCCTCTCGATTGACGCGCGTTGTGTAGAGACGCTGGGAGACTAGAGCGAGTCGAGCGCTTTGTGGTGGATCCAGTGGAAAGACGAGGACTGGCAGGCAGGCTCAGTCTTCCGGTGACGGGATCAATAACGCTAATCTTGCGCTCCCCATAATCTGAGATAAACTCGGAGAAAGATACTGAGGAAGCCGGGGACTGATTGGAATGCAAGACGGCCAGCAGACGAGAGCGACGAAGGTGCAGAGATGGGTTTGTGACTTCATCGTCGTCGCGCTCTGAATCTGGTACATTGACTGGTGCCTTTGGCCGCAAAGGCATTGGTTCAAGAGAAGGATGACTGCGAAGGGTATTCCTATGCTCAGCGGTGTGGGAAGTGACAGGCGAGAGAACCTCGTCAATCAAATCGTCATACTCATTCCAGAGCTCATCTTCAGACAATGGTGCTCCAGGGCTAGGTACCACAGCAGTGCTTGCAGCTGGGGCAAAGCTCCAGATGCCAGAGCTACTAGAGTATGATACCTCCGAATCCTTACGAGGCGGAAACTTGAAGAATTCGCTTCGTCGGTTGGCTTCATCCTCCCCAGGGCTCATGGTTGCAATAGCTGATCCATGCGCAAGAGCGCTCAAGCCTTGAAGGATAGGATACGGTTCGACCGGACCCGCAGTTGCAACTACGGGGCTGATAGAATCAAAAGACGTCCTGGGAAGAGCTGTGGGACGAGGTTGGTTTGGGACAAAAGGGCGAGAGAACGATCGAGATGATGGGCGTCCTGGTTGGCGGCGGGTGGAGACAACTTGAGGGATGCGACCGACTTGAGCCAAGCGGCTTGGGCGTGGAGGTGGATTTGCTGGTGGAGGCCCAGGCGAGGGGATGTCTTGAGGACGAACATGGACTTCTTGGCTAGGCGGGGAATTGGGAATCTGAGGTTCAGGTTCTACATCTGGCGATGGGGCAACCCCATAGTCCTGTACTGGGAACGGCTGTTCAAATGGAGACGTAGGTCGGGAGAGATCGGTGACGGGCGTTAGGTCTGTTAGAGAATAACGCTCAGAGTTGTAGAACGATGGCACGTTAGTATCAATAACCAACTTGCTCTGTTGCTGTTCGGGTTGTGGCGGTGCCTCTGAGCGTAAGAAGACCTTGGGTGAGGCTGGGCGTGCTGTAGGCACAAAGTTAGGCTCGAGAATTGGCTTGGGTGGCAGCAACATAGAGAGCATCCTTTCTTTCCTTCCTGGCTCATCGTCTGAAAGAGCACTCTCTGTGCCTTCATCAGCCTCCTGCATGAGCTGCTCAATGTCGTTAAGCTCAAGACCAGACTGGTCCATCAAGGCATAATGTGCAACAGAGCGAGAGGCGCTGACCTTGTTGCTAGGACTGGCTGCAGGACCAGCTGGTGTGTCTGCACGTGGTCCCGCATGTGCACGTTGGAAGAAGTTCCACCTCTTGGACGATTTCGATGCCTCCTTCTCTGCCTTATTCTTCTTTGACGACTTCAACCATGTGCCCTCTTTGGTCTCAGTTGGAGCTTCACTTATCGAATTCTTGCGAATTCTTCCAACTATACGGCTGCTAGAACCCGAGGAGCCACTAGACACCTGCGCGTTTTGCAACGCTCGTGATGTCCTTTTCGAGGTTGTACTAGGCAGAGATGATTTTTTCGCGTCGTCGTCGCTTTCCGACGGCCTTCGTAGTCCCATAGCCATCTTCTTCATTGGAGATACTCCACGCATCGTATTCGGCATCGCAGAAGGCAACAGTGTTGGTTTGTTCCTCTCCAGTGCAGACTGTGACATACTACCTTCAATCTGTGTCGTTTTCGTTGGCTGTTTGATGGATACGTCGAGACTGCTGCTACTCTGCATCGGTTCGGGACTACGTGAGAGCTCTGTACTACTTCCTGTACCCCGGATAACCACCGGAGCAAGTCGGTTCAGGAAGAAGTCATCCATATCCCCGCTTGTTGTACTTGTCATGCTGCTCTTGCGGGTCGAAGGTGTCTTGTCCAAACTCTCATTAGTTGTTCCAGCACTAGCAGAACGTCCAATACTATTAGTACTAATCGAACTTCCACTCCGACCTCTGCCAGCATATCGCCCGTATCCTTCATGCCCAGTACCTGCAGCAGGCCCTCTACGGTGTAGCTTTCCGTCTGACTTCGGGGGGCCAGCGGGCTCAGTCTTGGTACGACGGGTAAAAAACCCGAATCGAGAGGTCTTGTTCGGACTTGGGGCTGGTGCTGGTACTGGCCCAGAGCTGACTCTTCGGGTGCTTCGATCAAGCTGGAGGTCTGGAGTAGGCCCACGCGATGTTGACCGGGTAACCGGTGGTAAGGTCGACGAGGGATTTGGCGACGGAAGTCGTGAGGATGGCTTCGCTGGAGTGGTCGTCTTAGATCTCATGGTGGACGCTAGCGCTATCCTAGATTCGGACGATGCGCTACGTTTATGGTGAGATGGAAAGTGAGGCATATTACTCTGGATGATTGGCGATGGACCTCGGAGTCCCGATAGCTCTGGAGTACCATCTCTGCTAGGTCTCGATGGCCGCCTTGCCGATGGCATTGGAACAGGGGATTGGTTTGCAAGATGAGCAAACTCAGGAGGTGCCTGAGCCTGTGGTCGTTCGCTTGTGTTTTGCATCACTTCTGATGTTCGAGGGCTCTGAGGGAGGGTGGCTAGTGCGTTAGGTGACATGTCTTTGTATTTTGCGCCCTCGGTGATGACAGTGGATACCGATGACGATGATGTCGAGGACTCTCTGACTGTGGATAGAGCGTGCGGGTGGCGATTGTTCATCTCATCTGGAGTCTTGTGTCGAGTAACAGGTGGTCTACTCTGTAGAGGACTTGCTTGCCGTGTTCGGTTAGAAGCCCTCGATAGTGTTGTTCCTGGCGAGTACGACGACATTGATGTAGGGGTCGATGAGACACTAAAAGGTCCTGGAGATTCCGAGTAACGTGTTGATGGGGTTGCTGAGAGAGCATATTGAGGGACCGGAAGAGGAAGAATATCTGTAGGTCCAATCTCGTCATCATAGAGCGGACTGTTATACAGCTCGGCTTGGGGTTCCGAACGAGCCAATATTGTCGAAGTCGGTGGGATTGAGATCCCTAGAACAGTCTCAGAGAAAGGATCCTTGTAGCCACCAGGTATGCCCTCCATCGGTTGCGCATCGTCTTGGGACGACATCGAATCGTCCCTTATGCGTATTGCCTGTCGACCACTAGCAACCCCAAAACTCGCTTGCTTTCTCCGGAGAACATTCGATCGAGGGCTTTCGATGGTTGATGCCGATGATCCTGATGCGAGCGAAGGTGTGCGTATATTTTGGGGAACCTCGAGCTTGGGTAGTCGGGACGTCGACGTCTGAGATGTTGGTTTGGAGTTTGCAGCGCTTGTGTTCTGAGGAAACATAGGCGTAGACCGGCTGGTAGTTCTTTGGCGTATACTGGACGTTGATACCGACCCTGTTTGGCTTACAGGACCTCTGGGCTGTACCTCATCATCTCTTGAAGGCCTCCTCTTCTGCAGCTTAGAGTGACTTGAGGCGGGTAACTGCGATGTGCCTGTGGTGGGTGTGATAGATCGTTGAGGCAACCGAGTAATGGGTGCTCGGTCCTCCACCCTCCTTGAGGGAGGGTATTGTGACTTATAAGAAGCCATTTTGGGTAGCCTTGTGTAGCACGGCTAGATGTACGACAGATGCTTGTGTACGCCGAGTAACTCATGAAGGCATGTGCTTACCCTTCTGTGAGACACTTGAGACAAAAGGGTTTGGCGAATGGGAGTCGGAAATCGGGATTCCGAAACTGATAGCAAAAGCCAACTTGGATAGAATCTGTAGAGCGAATTGGTGTGAGGTGCGGCTGATGGCGGGATGGCTAGATTAACCGGACGGGGGTGGCGATTCGGGGATTTGTTACGATGACTGAGATTGCAAGTCTATCCATATAAGTCATCCAGCCAGTTGGTACATGCAGTCTTGCGTATCCGTGCAGACTTTCGGTGAAGTTGTCAAAATCTTTCTCGTATGCCACATCTATCGGCAAGTCCGAAAACGAGTGATGGGTGTGGCGCAGTCGGCAATGCCCGAGATGGGGCTGTGCCAGGGTACAGCAAGATGGGACGAAAATCGACCACGACGCGCGCAGGGAGCAACGAGACGATGACTGGTGTTATACTCCTGCCCCCAACGGCAGCTCACGCGTCCCGTCTATTCTTACCTCAGGGTCAACAGTCCTAGCGCGGGGCTTCAACCGAGAGTCGCCTCAGTGGGGCTTTTGCGGATGAGCCGTCTTCAAAACGGAGGACCAGTCCCGGTGCCTCTTTCAAGTAGTCCTGAGTTTCTCGGCAATATAGGTGGTTTGGCAGGCTCAGTGATGGAATCTGTTGGTCAAGAGCGCTTTGATGATTGTTGCGATTGCGTGGTGCGTAGGCTTGCATATGTACAACCTCGCGGCGTGCGCATCCAAGATGCGCACACATCTTTCAGAGAGCCGACGCCGGCGGCCTTGCGATATTGGGCTGATTCCGGACGGCGACATCCTGGTCCAGTGCGGGCGCTTGGGCTTGGATAGGCGGGTGGAGGCCTCTGGTTTGGAGAGAGAGCACAGCCAGTCGAGTTGCTGAGCAGTGGTGGAGGGCGGTGATTCGCAAACAGACCTTGTAGGGCGCCAGCCAAGTGAAAAGTCCAATTGGCTGTCAGGGCGCCCGCATCCGTCCTTTACCCACCAACATTATGCCGTTCCAAACGCTCAGCAACCCTCACCACAAGCCTCACGTTTTGCTATTGCTTTTCAAGACACGTCTCATGACAGGGCTGTTGTTTTGGGAGCTGAGATGCGAATCTTAGCGAAAGACGTCGACAAATAGCCGTGACGTCGCAACGGCCCTCATTTGCCAGCATTCACCCTTCCAGCTACATATGTTACCTTCAGCCCTTCGAAATTGCGCGACGATCAGCCATCCATTGTCCCATCGAGTTCAAAAAAGGACCGACATGGCTGTCAACGGCTCGCATGCATCTACCTTAATCTGGCGAAGCAATAGATTCGTTGAGAAGCCTTCACCTGTCGAGGGGGTTGTCTGACTGTTCAATCAGGGCTTGCAGGGCAACAAGCGGCTGGACTCCCCATGCAGAAACAGTCATATGGCTTTCTGAGCGATTTTCGCACTGGTTACCCAATGGATCTCGCAATTCTTGTTGCTATTCTCGTGACCATTGCATGCTTTAACCAGGAGCCTGCGGATCTGCTTGTGAGGCGGTGGCATTATGCCCGTCAGGCCGGAGAGCCCGTCCAGAGAGAGCGGGAGTGTGGCTGAGTGCCTCAATTCGGCTTAGCTTCAGGCGAATTTGAGGCTGAGCAGTCGATCTCCCTCGCCACAATGACAACGCATCAAAAAGCGGCGCAACTCTCAACTCAGAAAGACGATTTTGATCTTTCTTCACCTGCAATAGCAAAAGCGGTATTTTTTTGCTATCCTCGACAGTTTCACTTGCGCTTCGGAGCGAGGGCGCGCTATTGTGGATGCGATCCACCGTCCAGGTCGCGCCAAAGCCACCACACCTGCTGACCCCGGCTTTGGACGCTCATTCGTGCTCTGGTAATGTGAAAAAAACGGCCGCCCGCAGAGCTATATGGTCATGTGACTACGCCATACTGTATAGGGAAGGGTCTGGTGAAGGGTTGCGGCCAATGAGAGACGGAATTTGGCCGTTGACGTTATCACTGGCCCAGTTTGATACAAGGGTTGAATGTGCTCATCCGTAGAGACGATACCCGTGGGTAGATGCGGTAAAGGGTATTCAACAAGCTGACCCAAAGGTCGCTAGTTCTCGAGAGTGGTGTTGGAGTTTGAGACATCCAAGAAAGCGTCGAGACCTGTAGATCAAAGTCATCAATACTTTCAACCGTCTTGCAGAAACCCAGCCAACGTCTGACAGCCGGAGCGATAATAGTGTTGTAGGTAGCGCAAAGTTTCTGCTTCACACTGACGGCGTCTTGCGTCTAGATTTGACGGTTCCGGCCGTCAAGGTGCTGGTGTCGGAGCCAAATCTTAGTTGTCGTTAACCGCCCAACTGCAGAACGCATGACATACTGGGTCGACATGTCAAATTACGACAACGATCAGAGGCCCACAGCGGACCCATTTGGCCCCAGACTGATTCGTGCTTTGACTCTACCCGTTAGTCAAATGGAGAAGGGAGGAAAGGGAGGGCGGCACGGCGCGACTGCTTCACTATCTACGAATCACTTGCTGTGAACACCTGATGACCCTGTGAGACCCAGTGGAGCTCGGCCCGCCGCGGTGTGAATAGGAAATAAGTTCGTCTGAGGTCACCGTGTGGAAATGACGACGTGCATTTTAGTGCGTGACTTAGTCGTGACGGCCCCCTCTGGTCGTCAAGCCGCCAAAGCACAAATTTTTCCATGGTTGTAAAGGTGGCAGTAGTGCGGGGTATGGCAAGACGAGAGCGCTTCCGACTCTGTTAGTTTCCGTGTATCGGAGGTAATGCTCTTTTGGAGTCTGCTGTGCGATGTGACTCAGCTTATCGCGCGTAGGTGTATATTTTGTCGGCAAGGTCCGAATGCATTGACCGCAAACGCCGATCTTGAGGAAGGTTGAGGAAATTCGTGGGGTTTTTTATTTACCATGAACACTGTGAGAATGTCAACACAGGTCACTTGCCATCGGTCTAGGAATACCCGGTCGGCTGAAGTGTTAGTGACCGTCAGCATATCCAGGATAGACCTGGCTGCTAAGCCTGTTCGTGGGGGGACCCATTATCAAATCGGAAGTCCGTGGAGGTCTGCTTAGTTCCAGATAGACACACTTTTTTCTGGGTGCATTTCGTAATAATGTTGAACATTCCGCGGGAATGGCTCTACAGCTCATCTGTGCTGTTAACACTCGGACAAGCCCGTATGTTTCGATATGGAGATATAACTGGGATGAAGACAAATTACGTCTAAGCCACAGCATTACTAACCGAGAAGATTGTGTGGCTATTATTTTCGTTGATAGATCTGATATTTATTTGGTCCGGTCATATGGAGATGCCTGAGAGTGGTCAGTTTGAAAGCAAGCCACGTGACTGCGCGTTGATCCAGAAAGACACGCGTGTCTTGCACATGTAGACTCCTGGTACATATCATCATGGCCCTACAGCAGAAAGTTACCAAATACCAGGAACGCGTATATACAGCACTCCAGCAGATTCCAGAGGGTCGTGTCACAACATATGCCGCTATAGCAAAGGCTCTGGGTAGCTCTCCACGAGCCGTGGGCGGCGCGCTACGCGTCAACCCATTCTGTCCGGCAGTACCTTGTCATAGATGCATCGCCAGTACCGGGGTAAGTGTTCTGTGACAAGAGGTGTGACAGCTGTGCTGACCGATACAGTTTGTTGGCGGCTACAAGGGTGACTGGGAAAAGGCGCCGAGCGGACAGAACCAGGAGTCGAAATTGGAGCTGCTGAAGGAAGAGGGTGTGTTGTTTAATCAAAGTGGCTTTTTGATTGACAAAACCTTGTTGTGGGATGAGTTCAATAAGGAGAAGCTAAAGTGAAAGCTGTGGATGCAGAAGGTCCAAGGTTCGCAAGGCTCGCTCAAAGTGGGGCAGGTGGAAGCGGGGTGGTTTAAGAAGTTTCGCGTCCAAAGGCAGGGTGGGCAGAAATTAAATTTATACATCAGTCGCATTCAGAGCAGGTGAAAGGTGTTCAGAACGCGGTCGCATTTGCTGAGAAATCAATCAGATTGAATCAAGCTTGGGCAGATTCGCCACTCATTTTTTACAGACCCTGTCCTGTCGCTGACTACAACAACGCAACACCAAACCAAAATCTCGTCACTTCTCATCATCATCTTCTCCAGTCGACATGCCTCCTAAGCGAAAAGAGTTTCTCAAGCCGAAACCAAAGGGCAAATTAAAACCACAAGAACCACAAACCGAAAACGACTTCCTAGAAGCCGCAGACGAGTATGAGCAGGCAGCGGGCAAATGGCGCGCTGGAGACGCAGCAAAGGCCGCTCGCTTCTTCAATAGAGCAATTGATATATACAATGAGGGCCTGAGACTCCACCCCCAATCATTTGATCTCGCGTACAACAAGTGAGTAGGCTGAGCATCTCAGTTTGCGCCAAGTACTAATCGAGCACAGAGCAAATCTGCTATACAACATTGCAGAAGATGAGCGCAGCATGTCACAGTTTGGAAACAGAACAGCGCTACTGGAGCAAACCTTGGATTCTCACCGTTTTGCAGTCTCACTGAATCCAACAAATACAGACATTCTATTCAACACTGCACAAGTGCTTACGTCACTGGCGGAAGCCCGTCTAGAAAGTGATACACAAGAAGCCAGAAAGCAAGATGCAAGGCCATTGCTTGAAGAGGCTGTGGAGATCTTCAAAAGGTGTCTGGACAGTCAGCAGCAAGAGTACACGCAGATACAAGCCGAGATTGCAAAAGCACAGGCTTCTGGTGAGTACCGCGAGGCTTGGGAAGGAGAACGACAGCAAGAGTCAGCAGTTGGGGAAGCAGATGAAGACATGAAGACCGAGTCTAGCGATACAGAAGCACCAGGCGACTGGGCTACGGTCGAAGAGCCCCTAACACCCGAGTCAATCTTGGAAACATGTACTGCACAACTAAATGCCCTCACAACGCTCCTGGGCCTCTACAACCCCGCCCTCGACATTTCCGGCCTCGAGAAGAAAGCCGAAGACGGCCTTGAAACAGCTACACAAAAAATTCCCATTCTCCTCGATCTCATCGATAAATCCCCCTCAAAACCCCTAGCCGAAGAACCAAAATCCGGCCCAACCCTCTCCCTAACCTCGACCCCCGCATCCGAAGAAGCAAGCACAACCCCCAAAGACGACGCCCTCCTCGCCGTCGCCACCTTCCAAGCCAGCATAGCAGAAATCCAGTACCGCAGCGGAAAAACAGACGCAACAACCTACACCTCAACCATCGACCACACCTTTTCTTCCCTCCAAAAACCCATTTCGCAAACTCCTTCTCCTACCTTGGCCACCATAAACCTGTACTCGGCCCACGCAGACGCCCTCATCGACTTGGCCTCCGCCCTCTCCGACGGCACACAATACACACCTTCCGCACCCACATTTGAAACAGACACAAATCTCCAATGGACAGCCCTATCTCAGTCCCAAACAATCCTCACCACCCTCTCCTCCGCGCCCCAGTCTTCCCTCTTATCCCCCTCACGGTTATCCGATGTCTTCCTAGCAAGAGGCGATACGGACCTCTTCCGCTTCCGCATTTCGCTCTTCAGCACTGCGAAGCCGGCGTGGCGGAAGAGCGGGACAACGCTCGTGGGTAATGCGGGGGTTTTTTATAGGGGAGCGAGGAGTTGGGCGGAGAGGGCGGGTGTGGTGCAGGCGGGGCGCGTGGCGGATGCGAAGGCGGTTGTTGCGGAGGTGTTGAAGGAGGGCGTGGAGGGGACGGGGAGTAGGAAGGAGGGGTGGAAGGGGAAGAGGGGGGTGGTGGAGTGGGTGTTGGCGCAGATGGTTGAGGAGGGGATTGTTGGACGGGAGAATGTCGAGGGGATTCTGGGGATGGTGGGGTGAAGGGTGGTTGGTTGGTTGGGTGTAGAGTAGGTGAATGATGTTGCTTGATAGTTACCAAGAGTTTTCTCTTTCCTTCACCATAGTATCCACATCAGTGCCTTTTTTTGGACATTTAGTAGTAGAAGTTAACACTTGGGTGAAAAGGGGAGTAAGGATCAGTAATGGAATTATAACAAATTCTCAATATACTTGTTTTGTACTCGACATATCACATTAGCAGAATGATGAGATAATGTTGTTTGGGTAGCATGGAGCATTTCACCGTCAGCCAACTCTAAACACGCTAGGACTTGTGATTCTCATTTGCAAACTCCTAGAGTCAACAACATACACTGGGAGATGATGGCTCGTCCCGTGTCCTAATCACAAGCGTGATCATAGGCAGCACAACCAATGAAAGGACACCACAGCTCCAGTGCATGGACTTGCTGGTATCGCAGTGAGCCCAGCCTGTATTCTAGAGTTTAATCATTCAACATGCGTAATATACAATAGTCTCATTGTTGTCCTTTTTCCATGCTCAGTGGCGTTTCATATGCCATCCATAACCCCCTTTTGGATTCTTGTCTTCAATGTTCAGACCATAGCGCCATGTTCAGTCCTCATCTCCACCTATCTCAAGCCAGCCAGTCGGCGCTCCTGAACCTCGGACAGGGCTCGGCTGCCGCTCAAAAAGGCAACGATTCCAACGGCAGCGGCAGCTGGCAGGGTTTGGAAAAGGTTCCAAGTCGTGTAGTACAAGAAGAAGATACCCTCCATAGCCAGTATAGAACCGTAGAAAAGGGCATGTGATACAGGGGCGTTACCGAGGGCCTTGCCCAGATGGCTAACATTTGCGCCCAAGGTAGCCCATGCTCCAAGCAGGATGGGCAGCGCAGCAGCAACAGCAGCCGCGAACACAAGAGTTATGACCTTTGGTGGAGACTTGGGATCGCTGCGGAAGATGTGGTGAATCTCGGGCTCGGCGGCGTAGCGTACTGGCGGGTTGGGGACGCTTAGAGGAATGCTGGTGTCGCGAGTGACGTTGAGGTCAAACATCTTGCTCTTGTACGGCTTGGATGAGCCGAACGATCCAATGACAATGGAAGCAGCAATTGGTTTCTCGGCTGTCAAGAATTGATGGGGTAAATCCTTGTGAGACTGGAATGGTCAGGTATGTCGGCAGCCATTGACGAGCATTACGTACCAGGTCGACTTTGCCCTTTCCACTATCCTTCACACTAAACACAAACGAGTCTTCTACGCCAGTGACAGGGTCGGTCAGAGTCAAGTATGCTTGGTGTGGACGCTTCGCAGTGCCTCCATCGACTGTGGTAAGGACGAGTTTCAATGTGTCGGTCGCGCCCAGTGAGACAGACTTTCCGAGCGGCTTCGAAGGGCTCAGGCTGGAGAGACAATGTTAGTCGTATACTCGTTGCACAAATACAGAGCTCCAACTTAAGCTTACCTGTCCTTGGAACCTCCGCCTACACCAGCACCTTTGCTTGTAACCGAAACAGTAGCATCTTCAAAGCTCCACGAGGAAGCAGCAGATACAATCGCTGCACTCGAGAGGAGTATTGAAGAAACAAAGCTGTGCAAAACCCTCATTGTTGCTGATCCGAAAAGAGTGAACGCGCAGCTCTGTACGTATGTTGTGTCGAGACAGACGTAAGCGTGTCCTTTGCCAAGACTTGCGTCGGCGTTTCCCGGCCCGCCGCCGTCCCATCTTTACAGTGTCCGTCAAGTACTACACATATCAGCCACGACTGCAACATGTATTCTACCCGACTCGACGGTAGCAACAAACATATATCACGGCCAGATGCCACGTGAAATAACTATTTTTAGATAAATGATAGTGCAACATTGTTTGATGTGCAGTCTTGGGATCTGGGCAACAGTATGACTAGGACGGGTCTCTGCCAGCTTTAAGATGTTGTATTATTACTATATTGCACCCTACCAGCAATCGAACTGTTTGCGTACTTTACCCGAGATATTCAGATTTATAATTACGTGTTGTAGTGTTGTGCTGTCTCGACACTGTTTGCGATGCACGGCTTTTCCGATCAAGTTTATGCACCGTTAAGCACAGTTTACAAAGTTTACGAAATTGTCTGTATCCTTGTCTTTGGGCCTGGGGTAGCATTGTTGTGACTATCTCCACGGAGATCGAGCTTTATTGTTCTGATGAAAGATCAGGCTCGTACCAGAATCACAAGAACAGCATGAGTGGGGTAGTGTCACATCGTGTGAGTAGAAGTGCATTGGCTGTGATCTGTGACTGGCCATGTCTCTTTTCTCAGTATCTCGAGATGCTGTGTGCTGCATGATAATGTGAATGCATCCATCGTATCACAAGAGCGCTCATTTCCAGCAGCGGATGTGAGCAGCAACGCATTCTACTCCAAGGGCGGATAGCTCAACACTGGTGTCCTAAAACACGGGACTGAGAACCGAGACTACTACCGTGACACGGCACTGACTCGTGTATACAGACATACACCGCTATCAAGCTCCTCTAGCTTCGGATAGCGCCCTACTACCTACCATATCGTACCATTACGTGTCAAGGGTAGGCGACTTGGCATATTCACATGGTCTTTGTGAACTACAAAAGGTGAGGCTGGGAAACGGTGAACGAGGTGCACGAGACGACTCGGTGTACAATTCCGCTCCAACAGAAGAAGGAGGGGAAGACGGAGAAAAAAACGTCCCCCAATCCCCACAGGTTGCGTGCGGATTACTCGCATATCTTAGCCGGACTTTACTGTTCGCGGCAGCGCCTGCGGCAGTTGAGGGGCTAGAATTATTGTAAGAGGAGGTCGAATCACACCACGCCAAATGCAGTTTTGGAAGGGTTATCCCACGAGGTCCACATTTCCCACCGACTGTTGGGTAGCGAAGTGCTCCTTGCTCAAGGGTCTGCGGGGGCAATGACATGCTGCTGCGGCGCAGCTCGCGTACTTGAGCCAGCCAATCAATGCGGAAATCGTCAGCGAGATTGGGTGGATAGAATGGACGGAGTATGGGATTTATTCAAAGTGATTGAGAAGTTAGATCAGGATTTTTGCGAGGGATGTGGATGGGTTTGGTCGCCATGCATAGCACTTGGCGGATTGCAGTATCGTACGAACAAAGTAGCGTACAAGTGGTGTTGCACCGATTGGTGGCGGAGATGGTATCCGCTTCTTTCATGGATCGAGGAACATGAATGCCGGTGCTGACGGTAAGGGACAAACATGGGTTCTTCAGATCCCATTGGCGCACTGTGCAGATGCACACGAAGAAGCATGTATGCACTGTTGCTGTTGCTGTTGCTGTTGCTGTTGCGAGAACGCAACGGGGGCAGCGTCGTGGTAAATTGGAGGGGCATGATCTCGATGTTCAATCTTCCAGATACGGATAGTAGCCTACCAAGAACTTAATATTGTTGAGTGACAAAAATCACTGATGTAGGTAGTAGAGGCCGGGGTGGGGATGTGCTGAAGGGATTTGAGAACGCATTGGGCGGGATATGCTATGCAGATGGCATGGTTGGAGCAGAATAATCAGAGCATGGTCAACAACGTGGGTCTCTACTGTGAGCTGTTTGCAACGTCAAAACTCTTTAACTGCATATGGCGTACGTCTGTCGCAATGCCGTGCCACAAACGGAGGGCTGAGTCATACGCAGCGGCTGTTGATATGTGTTGCTTGCATGATATAGAAGTCAGGGCATGCTCTGGTGGGGCGAGACACGGCTGTGATGGCGGACGTGAGTCCGTGGGGTGCCCTGAGCCGAACCAAGTGATTATTGCAGGTGAAGACGAAACACAAACGAGACGACGAGTGCCGAACATTAGCTTCGGCAGCGAACAAAGCTCTGTCAGCAAGTAAGACCGGGTTATGCCAGAGGCGCTTCGCGTGACTTACTCAAGGGCGCAATGTTTTTGCAATTGTTGCGGTTGTGGTAGTTGCCGCTTTGATCGACCGCGAGCTAGGGTTGACGAGGATGTACCACAACGGTTGGCCTTAGCACGGCTTGTTCGGGGGTTTTTTTGTGCAGTGCGCATGCTACTAAGTAGAGGGTGCCTGATGCGCCGGGTGTGCGGAACGATGTACTAGTATGGAACCATCACTGTGCATGTGTTTGGCGCTGAGGTGAAGGGTGGGTGTTGTTATAAAATTACACTGATGTAATGATTTGCGGACATTGGATTAGCGGCGGGAATGTCCTCTGAATAGACTTCATTTCAGCCTTGAGATTTGCGCTATAAAGTAGAGTGTATTGCACTGTGGCCAATGGCAAGCGTGATATGCGCATATTGTGAAACGGCCAGGATGGAGAGGCACAAGGCGGGCTGTTGATTAAGTTCAGACGATAGGGCGGATGGTGGAACATTTGGCCCGGGCTGAGGCGGAGGAAACTTTGGCGCGAGTTAGGTGTACTGTTTGTTCCCGCAGCACTAAGTAGAGTAAGTACGAAAGGACGAGGTGCACTAGGCGTTGAGTCTAAAGAGCGACGGAGAATTGTAATCGCAGCGAACAAACTATAGATGGCCCGTGCATTCTTTGGGAATAGGGCGTCTTGGCATTTTGGGCATGCACATGGACCATCAGACGCTACGACAGAGAGCATCCCTTTGGATGGCCGCCCTAGATCGGGATGAGACACTCTTTGTTCTTGACGAGTCGGCATGGGTGACCGTGGTATGGCCGGCGAGACAAGTATGGCCGGCGATTACGAACAAGGGTATCGCGTGCTAACCCAGGAGCAAGGGCATAAAGTAGCAGCAGTAGGGCAAGGCGAGGAGCGAGGAGCGAGGAGCGAGGGTAAGAACAGGGCGAGGGACAGGGAACAAGGCGCAAGCAGATCGAGGTGGGCCAAGATGAAAAGAGAACCCATGACAAGACGGAATGGCGTGGAGGGGGGGGGTGAAGAGATTTGTGTCTTGGGCGGGATGAGGAGAGGGTCATGGACAAGACGCCGATGACGTGCTCGAAGAAGCTTGTGGGAATGTGGCAGCATCCCCCTGGATCACCGACTTGGCAGCGTAACCGACAGAGTGGAACCGGAAACTGGTGGAGAAGACCGGCCAACCGATGGCAGAGTTTCCTCAATGGCGCAGTGCAACCCAGGGCCGTGGATCCGCGCTATGCTGGTTTAGGGCCGGGGCCTTGGCGGAACAGCTCCCCACCAGCACGCGGGTCAGCTCGCATCGATGGGCAGGCGATCCGAAGGTTTGACAGTGCGCTGGTGGCACCGGTGCAGGGCGGTGTTGCTGTATGTCAGTGGCTACAGGTGTCCGAGGAGCGAGCGAGGGAGAGGTGCACAGGCGTGTGTTGAGTGTATAGTTACGTACTTGGTTGGGAGTGGCCGTGTATCCCGTGTGCGTGCGCGCAGAAGCGCAAGGCATGCGGGGGGCCATGAGGTGCATGGTGGTCAGGTGTTGGGCGTTGCAATCACACGGGCGAGAAGGAGCAGGCAATGGCATCAGTGATACGATGGCGTTTCAGAAGGCTGCGTATCATGTGCGATGGAGGGCTGGTGCTGACCCCCACGTGATGGGGGATCAAGTATAGGATCAGGATGAGCAAGCCCCTCTAGCCTGTAGCCTCCACACGGCGAGCACGGACCGCGCGAGCACGTTTTGCTAGGCGTGCAGGATAGCGTGCATGCAGTAGTATACTAGTAATCTCTCTTGCCTTGCCCAGCCAGACGGGGCGTTGCCGCCGCTGACCGTCCCGAGACGTTAGTGATGTGGCCGAGTCCGGTACCGCGTGTTTGCAAGCCGTGGTGGGTGGACTATGCAAGAGAGAGAGAGTGTGTGTGCACGGCGAGGAGCTGAACTGAGCTGAGATGAGACGAGACGAGATGAAATGACATGACTTGGGACGATATGATGCAATCAGCCGCAAGACGCTTAGATGAAGACGCAGGCAGGCAGACATGCAAGTACATGTGTAGGCAAGTAGGTACTAGGTAGATGGGGAGTAGTCGTAGTAGTATGGGACGTACATAGATACTTACACCGCCGGACGCAGGCGAGTTAGTTGGGTGTGGGTGTGGTCTACTTATTAGATACATACATACATACATACAGACTTGCCTCCATACATACATACATACGTGGCACAGAGCATCGTTTCGGGCATTTTGGCCTCGCCGGGGAGCTGCCAATGAGGCGCTCAGATGCATAAAAAAAGAAAGGGCGGTGCAGGTGTGCAGGCGTGCAGGCGTGCGTGCAGCCCGGGCAGAGAGTGGGCAATGGGCGCTGTCCCCCGCCCGCTGTCTTGACCGGCCCTAGGCGGCCATGACAGGACTAGACGTGGACCGGAATCACTCCCGCAGGCCAGTGCCTTCGGCTGCAGGGCTGGCGGCGTCTGGCGTCGACGTCGACGTTGCTCCAGGAGTAGCTGGCGCGTGTCGTCCGCTTCCGCGCATCCTGGCCAGCTGCTGCACCAGCCCTTGGACGTGCGTGCCCGACCGCACACGATGCACGCACTCGGCCCTGCCAGCGTATCCATGTCTATGCCCACACTGCCCACACTGCCCCGTATCCCTGCCCATGACTGCCCAAAGGGGGCGAGTGGGGCCTGTCTAGTGCGTCGCCAAAAAAGCCCTTGGTCGCGTTGCTGCCCTTGGTGTCGTTGCAGCCCTTGCACACTCGCGCGCCTTGGTCTGGCGCAACATGGCATCCATCCCTCCATGGTTTGCTGCCGCCCAGCGATCCCCCGACCATTACACCGCAACCTCCTAGTCCATACTCGATCCTATATCCCTCCCGGCCCAGGCCCGCCGACCCACGCCCGCCCGATTGCGACCGCCCGTCACCGTCACCTCCAATTCCCCATATATACTACATACATGGACTGCTCCCGCGCCCTCAACCCCCCCTCCCATCGCTTCCAGCGCTTCACTGCCCACATCCCCTCTACTACCACCACTACACACTCACCTCTGCCACTCACGCCCTGTTCCTGCAGCCCTGATATCGCCCTGCCCCCCAACAGAGCCTGGTCACCTGCCCCACCCTGCTCCAACTTGCAACTGCCCTACTAGGAAATCCTGAGTCGCTCGCCTCGTTTGCAGTGCCCGTCTCCCATTGTCACTCCAACTAGTGCTCCAACATCCTACATCCTAGAGTCCTCTTCTCACCTCCACTCCATTCTTCCCTCCATCCATCCACCCATCCTTTCATCCTCAGCTCGACAATTAGTCTCTGGGTTGTCTACACGGCGACCCAATTCGTCCTGTCGTCACGCTGGCTACCCAAACTCTTCCCGCTATCGAGGCCCCTCATCCTCTCTTCCCCCGCCGCTTCCAGTCCTCGTTGACTCCCCCATACACCAACGACATCAAGTCGGAACGCTCATGGTTGCCGCGGGGTGGCCAAGGGGGCTGTGACGACGTTTATACTACGTCGAGTCTACCCGCTGAAGCACAAAGGACCCAGCAAACAACCACCCCACACATGTCGCCCGTCCAGTCGTACCCACCAATGCATCCTCCATATAGGAGCCCACGGGAGCCTCCAGCCAATCCTCCCGTCTCACTCCCGCCGCTGCGTCAGCTTTCCATGACACCACCCACCCCATCTGGCAGGAATGGCAGCTCACTTGGCGTCCACTCGATCCTCAACCCTCAAGCCGAAGTGGCTGAGCAGCAGCAGCAACAAGGCTCAAGACGTAGCCTTTCTCGCTTGGAATCGTCCTCTCCCGTCGACACGCATCACTCACAGAGTCTGCCCTCGATCAGCCGACCGAATAGTGTCGACTCAGTATTGTCTGCCCGGGAAGAGCAAAACCTCCCTAGGCTATTTCAGCCACCAGGAAGACCTCCTATGCGGCCCTCGCTGCATGACAAAGGCATCAAGAACCACACCATTAGCAGACTCAATCCCCCTACCGGCACTATAGATGCCCACCAGTCACCCTTCTTGACGGCAAGCACACGTCCGTCCGAGGTGGTGACACCGCAGCACTCGGCCCTACCTACACCACCTGCCGCAGGTCGAACCCACTACTTCCCACCCACGGCTCCAACCCCACCCCCGAACGTGGGCCGGGCGGACGTACATCGACCCAATGTAAACTTTCCTCAGTCGGGCAGTGCGAGCCCCATTGCCCAGTACTCTCCATATAGCCAGCCGGCTTCAGTAGCGTCTACCCAATACGACAACCACAGCACCCAGGGACAATATGGTCCTGGAAGCATTGTCATGCACGATGCTCGCCAAGGCTCCTCGATTGATGGCGACCGCACGAGCATGATTGCAATGGCGCCTTCAAGCCAGAGCAGCATACAGCTCATGACCATCAAGAGTCAGCACGGGCCACCTCGCCAAATCCCCGTAGAAACACAGACTGCGTCCAAGGGCGCTGACGAAAAGAGAAGGCGCAATGCCGGTGCGTCTGCTCGCTTCCGAGCCCGACGAAAAGAGAAGGAACGAGAGGCTTCGATGAGCATCTCAAGGCTGGAGCAAAGCGTGCGTGACGCCAACGAAGATGCAGCCTTTTACCGTGAAGAGCGAGATTACTGGAGGTCATTGGCATTGCAGTCGCACCCCGAGAGGAACCATGCCCGGCCTCAGTCGCCTAGGCTGAGACGCGCATCAGCGGATCCGTCGCGAGCTCCGTCTTGCACGACCGGACATGGCTCCGAGGCGTCTTTTGACGGATACGAGGACGAGGCCCGAGAGGAGGAGCAGCGCAACGTGCGAAGGAGGACAAACAGCTACCACCCGGCACTAGGCTCTCACCAAATTGATGGACCCTCGCCCAGCCACGACAGTCGGGCATATCCGCTAGGGGGATATGGGCCGACGACTCACGCATCAGGACCAAATTCTCAGGTGCACGCATCGCCCCAAGGGCAGCCAGGTCAGGCAGGCGGTCTTCAGCACCCGTCGCCAGAACGGCCGCTGTACCGGGATTCGTTTGGCGCAGAGGCGGGTCGATATGAGCATCGCGCGTGGGCGTCTGAACAGACCAAGGGACGAGCGCAGTAATCAAACAGAGCGAATAGCAGGCGGCTGTTTGTTGTCGCATGGGTGGTTGTTTCAAGCTTGTGGAATTTTGCAAGCGTTAATCTGCGTTATACCCATTGGTCTTCTCACCACCATGTTTTCTTTTTTTTGAATATCTTCTCAGACTTGTTGCATTATGGAACAACTACAAGAGTGCATCTAGATTATCAGGCCTCCACAGGCAATGTTGGCATCATTATCATCATCATATCATCAGAGAGAAGAGTGAAGAAAGAATTGTACACGATTTGTTGTTGCTATTACTACTGTGTAGAGTGGATTTTGATTGTGCCTGGATTGCATGTGCATGGTGGTTGGTGCCTGGAGAGGGCGTGGTTGGAGGACGGGAGCTGGCAAGCAACCCCTGAGAAGCGTCTGTCATGGACAAAGTCATCTGTGCGGTGCGGGTCTTGGCGTGGAAGCAATGGTTGACGCAGAAGTTCGGTTGCGGCGGCAAGGCGAGAGAGGGTGCCAATGAGGGTGGTGAAGACGTGGGTTGCGTGACAGACGGCGAGGCAATGCAGAGCTAGCAAGGACGGCGACTATTCTTACTCGTACGTTGGCAGAGGGTAAACTCTGAATCGAGCATGACAGTGAACGCATCGGGCCAGGCGAGTGCCAAGTGAGGCAGAGGCACGCTACCAACGGCTTCACTGACTGTTTCTGTCTGGGTTTAGGCCATTGGCCTCTCCCGTCGCCCGTCGCCCTGCCCCGACGACGTCCGGTCAGAGTTTGCGGCTCACTGGCTCCTCTCCCGCTCGCAAACACACACACATGCCGACATGGACAGGCCCGCGAGGCTTAGTGCGCGACAAGTCAGTCGTCTGTGGAGATATGGGATGTCGTATGCGCGTGGGTGCATACACTTACTTACTACACGCTCCGCTGTGGTTCCTTGGACCTACCTAGTCCGTCCTCTGATGCCTTACCAACCAGTGCCTGTTCTTCGTGCAACTCGACGCTATGCCGTCTTGGGCCCGGAGCCCGCCTGACCGCACCCTGACATTGCTCCTTTCGGTCACACGGCCACGGCGGCTCTCTTGACTCTCGACTCTCTTCCTCGACTCTGGCGCCGCTTCCAGAAGAGACAAGCCACCCCCCCTCCTCTTCCCCCCACCTCCTCCCCACTTCACCACTTCACCATCTCATCATCTTACCACTCAACCTCGTCGCCATCGCCGCCATCGCCACCATCCATGTCACCCTGCCGTCGAGGGCCCCAGCTCCAGTATACCATGCGCATAACGTGCGTACATACATAATATCACTACTTACATAGTACGTCTGTCTGCCTGGACATGCGCCATGCTTCCCTCCACCCACTCCACGTCGCTCCACCGCAACTAGAGTACGCACACACACACCCAACTCGCTCCACCACCACCAGAGCGGTCAGAAGCCACCTGACCATGCCGTTGGAAACCGGCCAAGCGCGCATGCTTCGTCAAACCTTAATGCTCTGCCAACGACGTCCCAAGTGTACCCGTCGGAGGCTACTCCGGGGTGGTCCGTCAGACGGTGGGGCGTCTGTTGCTCGGCTCATTCGATGGCCAGACCGGAACTTTAAGTGCGCTATTATAGCGTCCCTGCTCGCCGATGAATGACCTGCGTGCATCTTGACTGGTAATATTATCAGATCAGCACCACTCGCTCCATGCTGCTAGCATCACCCTTCAACAAATCTCCGTTCGTCCTGTCTACTGGCTGCACATCCCTGTCGCAAACTACGACCAACATCGTCGTAGTTGCAACTCATAGCAATGGATCTCAGCCCACAGCCATAGTAGCCCTGGTAGCTCCAACTCTGTCTGTCGACAAACGGTCCGAATGACAATGACAACTTTGCCGTCCCAGCAATCCCAGTCCAACGTGTCAGCTCTGCAAAAGCCCTGGTTCGCATTCGTATCCTCGAAACTGCACTTGCACCCTCTCCTGGGCCGTGGCTGCACTCAATATCGATTATCTATGTACATGCTACCGTCGTGCTAATGACTGACAGCGCGCGCACACATTGAAACCTGCGACGCCTTCATACACTGTCACTTTAGTCTACAGGGGGGTTAGCACGCGTCAACTCATTACATATTTTCCAACATCCACCCTGCTCCTTGATTAGGCCATGTTGTGCCTTGTGCGCCTTGGGGGCACTTGCGTTGGAGAAGGGGGGGAACTCTTCGTAAGGTCCAAACTCGTGCAAATAGTACTACGGACTTCTCCATGACCCCTCTAAATAGCCCTATACCAGATGACGGAACGGGAAGACGTATGCCATCTCACGTGCGTAACGCGATCCTGCTTACGCTCTGGACTCTGACTCTGGACTTGTGGGCTCGTTAACGTACCGCTACGGCCCATGCACGACATGCCTCCGCTGATCGAACCCTCGTCATCGGGCCTTAGCATTAGACTAACCGAGCCCCCGAGCAGCGCACGTAACCGCCATTTCACCGCCATCTCTCCAAACACATCATTTTCTCGCCGTCATACATCCGCCTTCCGTCTTCCGCCCTCGCTACCTATCCCGCTATCGGTTTGGCCCTGACTCGCAATGCTTGTGTGAGCATCTATTTTCCTTTTTTCGGTCCCTTTTTTCTTTTCTTTTCTTTTTTTTCTTCATGCCTCTCTTCCTTTAACCATTGTCTTACTAGGATAGTAGTAGTGCAATGTGGAACACTGTCATCAGGGATGCAGGGTCATGTTCCAACTAGGATATAGCCCAGTGTACGTGTGTAGATATCGACGCGCACCAACCGCTTATTATTCCGCAATTCTGCATGATAACAGGACAGGAGAAAGAGCCGCGCTGGGTATGTAAATGATGCACTGGGGTTGGGTTGATGACACGCTGCAACCCGGTTTAGTGACTTGCCCAATCAAGTAGAAACCTGGAGTAGGATCTCCGGGCCAATCTTACCGTTTACCTCTGCCGTGGGTTCACAGGGCTGTAAGACCGTATGTGTCGCAGCGGTCCCGGCTCATGTCTCCTTCCTGCTTACATATCCTTTTGTTTTACCCGCTTCAATTGCCCCAACTCAGGTTGCTGACGTCGGCCCGATCAGCGAGACATACGGGGGGATGCTGAATTGGTGTGTGCTCGGTTTGCACCACAATGCCCTCTAAACGCTCTCGGACAACTGCCGATGTGCTTTTTTTTCTTCCACGCTTCACCTCCGCGACGACTCAACATGTTATGGAGGTGGACCGATGGCCCCATGATGACTTTACAGGGCGTCAGACGGTTGACCTGCCTTATTGCAAAGTACAGCTTATGCAGCTCATGGTTTTGTTTTTGGTGTTGACTCGCACCGTCTGGTATTTTGTCATGTACGTACATATGTGACCTCCCTATAGTTTTGTCGCTCCTGGCCGACGGCAAATCACATCCGCACAGACAGCCCACTTTCGACACGTGTATATATCTGTATATGCACCCTGCATTGCTTCCATGATCACCATTCGACTTCTCTCCACACGGCCTGCGCCAGTGTCGTTTGTCAGTGGATTGCTCGCCCGTCACGCGCTGCTCCGCCTGCACGCGATATTTGCTTTGGCTGCACGGCTCTTTTGCCATGTTGATCCAAGGGCCAGAACGCTATTGATCGATCAGATCTGCACATGAGTCAAGGACCTTGTAAGATGAATGGCAGGGGTGGGTGACACGGCCTCTCGCGCAAAGTTACGGAATGTCGCACGGCATCGGTTCTATAACCGCGATGGAAACCCGCATATATGGAACCCTTGCCAATCGCGACAATCACACTCGGGGCTTTTTTTGTTCAGCTGCAAACAATTTTGAGGCAAAAGAAAGGAAGAAACACACACAGATGCACAAATACTTTGATGCATCTACAAACAGAACGGAAGTGACTTTCCAGCACATCCGAGATGCGCTGCAATGCAATGCAATGCAGTCAACCCAGTTGATTTTTAGGACCCCTAAAATAATACCTTGAAGAATCTCTCAGGCTGGCGGGGCCGATACCCGCATCCTTCCTGTTCCCTCCATCTTCTTTTTTGTCCCCTCTATTGCATACGTGCATAAGCGCAACTCTCCTGTGACTTTGCGACAAGCTACGCTACGGTGTATATGGCGGCTGAGTGTCTTGTTTGACCGAAAAGTTTTCGGATGAAAAGGTACAACCGCCAAAACAGACCATGCAGTATTCATGAGGTATTGACTATGACCCGCGTTATAGATTGTCTCTTTTATAGCATGTCAATCTATACGTAGAGTCTGGTGTTTGTTGTATACGGTTCTTTTGAATCGTATCTTTTATCTGTTTGTTTCTTTTTTCCCTCAAAACGCACGGCGGTATCGAGTCATGCCGGGTGTGATTATCTGCACATTTGATATACATGTAAAGTAGCAGATTTGAATCTCGCTGCAGGAGAAAACGTCAGCAAACATGGTCACACACGCACACATCGACATGCTGAGAATCATTCAATCGTCAGTAAGTACGCGCATTGCCACGTCTGATGCTAACCATGTCTTTGGACACGCACACAAAACGTAGGGAGAATAAAAGAAGGGAAAAAGGATAATGCAACGTTGAATGCTTCTGGACTCGATTGCTGACGGAGACCACCGTCAATAACCTTTTGCCAAGTCGCAACTAAGTAGGCCAAAGAAGCACTATTGTTCTCCAACGAACGATGCACGCACCCACACCAAAAAAAAAGGATGGGCGCGCTGCAACCCTCAGTAACCGCCAAAATGTCCGTTCGGACCCCAACTGCACAACGCACGGCGCTTGCGTCGTATGTACTGTACATTTCACCAGCAGTGCAAACCGCCTCCTCCTCGCCCCCAAACTATCCACTTTTTTTTTTCTTTTCTACTTTCATCTCTTTCTCTTTCACACACACACTTCTCTCGTACCACAGCATTAACCTTTTTTTCTCACCCTTTCCCCTCCCCCCCTTCCTTCTCTCTTCTCACCTCTAAAGACAAGAAAAACGCCGCTGACCCAAACCACCGGGTCGGATGCATCTTTCCTTCGCCTTGCATGCGAAAAGCGCAAACTCTCTAAAGATGCGGGCCAAGAAAAAGAGCGAGAGACAGAGACAGACGGGATCCCCCCTGTCTAGCCTCCCTTTCTTCTTGTTCGTGTTTTTTGCCCTATGGTTAATAAGTACAGAGGGAGATTTTTTTGCCCCTCTGAATGAATGAATGCCCAACCATGCAAGCCATGCAGCATAACACAATTCAACTCATGCATGTCAGCACATGGTTCTGGGGGAGGGACTGGGGTAAGGGGTGTGTGCGCATGTGTGCATGTGTGTCTTAAATCGCCAAGGGAAAACCAGCATGTGGGCACATCATCATCATCATCATCATCATTGTCATCATGTGACTATTACTGTTTCGTATATTTTAACTTCACACAACAAAATCCAGCGCTTGAGTGAGATTTGGGGCGTGGCTTGGGGGGGAGCGCAAGATTTGGAGAGAAGAGATAAAATATCGAATTACATGCGTAAGTAATGATTAACTATTATTATTAAAGAATCAAGGGGGGGGGCGGGAACGAAACGGGGAAACGCGGGCAAACCGTGTTTTTGCCGAGATAGAAGGGAGGGGGGGGAGATTGTTGGGCAGGGTCATGGTGTAAGGCCAGCTGCGAATCATTCACACACACACACAAAAAAAATCTGCCAATCTTCGCCCTTTTGGCCAATCTTACTCGCAGAACGGGGGGCGGGCGTTTACATGGAAGGGGATATCAGCAATAAGGTTGGAGGCTAAGCCGCAAATGCCGAATCAATGGTGCTTAGATTATTTGTTGTTGTTGTAAGGCGGGACATGGGTCAAGTTTTTGGACTTGGTGTTATTTTTCCTTTGGCTTTAATTTTATTTTGGAGGCGTCTAGTACATGTATGTTCTATTGTCGCAAGATACGGGTTTTGGGGGGCTTGAAAGGAGGGATGTGTGTGTGTGTGTGTGCATCGACCGATTGCTGGACTGCCCACTCGCACACATGTCTCCGAGCCGTATATGTGTGTGTGTGTGTGTGTGTGTGTGTGTGTTAGAAGAGGGTGTGTGTGTCTTGCATGCGTGATGACCAGGCGGGGGATGTGTGCGCATGTGCACTCTAGTTTCCCCATGTTCTAGACAATCACACACCCACACACACACACCACTTGCAAAGAACCTAGTCGGGTTTGAAAAGCAGGGTCAAAGGACTAAGCCTTTTTTTTCTTGTTTCATGCAGCTCGTATCCTTTGGTTGCTGAGGGCGGAAAGAAATAATGGAGAAAGAAAAGAAAAGAAGAAGACGCAAGAGCACCAAGTAAGCATGGTAAGTTTTGGGGACGACTGTTTGGGCGCAACGCACGTTCCGAACCGTTGCCTTCCCTTCCGCCTAACCGCCCCCCCGCCGACGGGGGGCCCAGTGCGCCGCACCTGCTCGTCATGTTTGCTTTGGCTGCGACCAGAGCAAAGTGGTGTCTGATGACGCACCACGAACACTCTCACCTCCTTGCTTTACTTTTTGATCGTCTTGCTTTTAACCTTTCCGCATTGCCGCATCCCCCTTCGTTATCTGCAGCCGTTTTCGCCCTCTTCCCTGTATAAAAAAAGAAAAGGCGAAAACAGCTAGGCGAGTAAAGAACATGTATGAAAGAATGAGGCTGCAGAAGCGTTTTGGATCTCGTGCAGCAACACACACACCCCTCCACCCCCTCCACCCCCCAATAGCCCTCCGCCCCTCTTCCCTTTCGTTACCGTACGTCGTAACTGCATGCACACGTAGGGATTTTATTTTGTCACAAAAGCCGCTCGTAACGCCTCATGCGATCGCTGCCTGCAAGTCAAACAGGTTGCGCCATTACTCGGAGGACGGCGCGCGCGCAGCAGCATATGTGGACTACTTTGGTTGCATCCGCTACCAGTCTTTGCCTTTGGGCCGTACTGCCTACATTTATTTGCCACCACACACCTGCATGCTGGCCCGTTTTCGATGCAAGTGTGTGGTGGGCTGTATGTAGGTGACCCCGACACCCAGGTACACGTGTATCTCCACCATGTGTTAGAGTTAGGTGTGTGTGTGTGCGTAGGTGTGCTTGCGTGCTTTTCACACACACACACACACACACACACACAGACATACATGCATGTCGCTTCTTTTGCTCACTACCCAATAACGGACTTGCGCGAATCGCTGTTAAACGAAAAAAAAAAGCAAAAACTTACGAGACAGATGAAATTCTAATTCATGCAAGGCCCTCTCGAATTGGTTTGAGGTAGTTGCGTCTTTTTTTCTCTCCCTCTGCTGCTTGACACATAGGCGCTTCCTCTTACGCTGGAGCATCATCCATGCTGTCCATGTGGAAATTAAAGTGGGCAGCAAAACCGCACGTGTACTGCTTTGTCAAAGTGGCGAAGGAACAAGAGGCTATTATCAAGTTTGATTTTACCTTTTCTGTACCTATATGCCGCGACAAGCGGTGAGTATCGTCGACCGCCGACTTGGAAGGAAGACAAGCACAAGCGTATCAAAAGTACGTAGCACGTACCCACGTAACTCACAGACTTGTAGCCCCGCTTCCTACAGTACGTACCTTGTCTGACAGTGCAAGCAAGATTTACCCCCTTCCGCCCCCAACCATCCACTCCAAGAAAAAAAAATACGAGACACAAGATGGGGGCGACTCCAACTTCCCGTATACACAGCAAAAAAGGAATCAAGAGGCAAACGACATAGCCGACCGTCCGCGCCTACGGCATGCAAGTAAAAACCCCCCAAACATCCATATCGGTGACATGCAGACCCGCAGTAGTTCAATCGGTACGTAGAACCATCTCAACCCAGTTGTATCACCACCCGTCCGCCATCCCACACCCCCACTCCGCCTCCCTCGCCTACGCTGTGCCGCAAATCCGATCTCAATGCCGTATACACTCGGCAAGAAAAGGCAACACCACGAATCAAAAAATGATAATCAACGGCCCAGCATCTGCCGTAAGACGGTGAGTGGGGGAAGGAAGGGGATCTCGGAATGTCACCCACCAAGCAAAAGCTGCAAGACAGGCAGGCAAGCAAGCGAAATAACTTAAACTGACGCAACATATCGTACACACGTCCCACCCCATCGCACACCGATGAGGCAAAAGCCGACCCGTCCGTCGTCGTCGTCGTCGTCACCGCCGCATTGCCGCGTTGCCGCCGCGGCAGCGGGAACAAGCCTGTCTCCCCCTCCCAAAAAAACAGTTCAGATTGGCGAAGATACACACCCAAGAACAAATAAAAGCGGAGGAGGGGGGATAAAGAGGGGATGTCTCAAAAAATCAAAAAAGATAAAAAAGAATTTGGGTCAAAAGAAATCGGAGACGCGGGAATGACGGGCGCCGGGCGTGCATCGCACCGCTGCGTGTGTGTGCGCACGCGGGCGCCCGCGGGGGCGGCGGCTTGGGACTTTTGTGTATATGTATATGTAAAGTAAGTGTGTATGTGTGTGATGACGGGCACGAGCGCGGGCGCGGCATGCCGTTTTTGCAAAAAAGCAAAAAAAAGCGGCACAGAGCCGAAATGTTGCGCTGCTATTACTTGCCTTACCGTAACCTAACCCTGGTATCATCGGTGTGCTGTGCTTTTCGTTTGCTTGCATGGCTTTTTCTTCCCCCCCCCCCTTCCCCCCCATTCTTTCCTTTCTTCTTTTTTCTTTTTCGGGAAAGCCATGGCGTAGGTTTGACATACATGGTGGCTTGGCGAGTATGTAAAGCATGGAAAGTGCCGTTTGTGCGTTTTTTTGTATGCATGTGTTCCTTTGGAAAAACAAAGGAAACGTTATGGAAGCAAGGAGGATTGCGAATGTGGCTTGTCATGTGATCTCTTTTTTTTCCCATGCTATGACTACTTACTATCTGGGTTGAGGGCTGGTTTGGGTTTGGCTGTTCACTAATCTTACACTACGATGTATTACCCGACTGCACGCACACACACATTTGCGATCAAGACCAGGCGCGTGAGAGCACAGCACTTGCACAGTCCGCGTATCTTACACTCACACACATACACCCACCCCCGTTCCAGTGTGTAACATGGCATTGCTGTTTCTGGGTTGCATCCAATATGGTAGTATTACGAGTGCGACGTGGGGGCAATGACTTCACATGCAAAGCGTTGCGTGGGGTAAAAGAAGGTAGGGTAGGACGATGTGGGGGGCCCTTTTTTTACTTGTTCCGGGGACACAGGAATCCCAGTTGCGCGGAGATGCAAAAGCACAAGAAACGTTGCAGGCGTGGAGCAATCACAAACCCAACATGGGCGTTTGATAAGGAAACAAGAAAAAGCCACCCAGCTCCTTCGCTTACACTGGTTGCACTACTGCTACCTGCACTGCCTTGCCTTGCGTTCAGCCACGACCAACGCCGAAGCGGGTGCGCAAAGTGTTGAGCCTCCGCAAAGTCTCGGGCATATCGTTCATGCCGCTCTCCGTTCGCGTCAGCCGATATGCAGAGTAGTTCCTGTTCTCCTCCACCAGCGTGTCAAGCAGCGTGAACTCGCCAATCACGCACTGGCCCGAGCTGAGCATTTCCATGGCATCTGCATGACCCGACTCGGATTCGGCCAGCAGCATGTCGTCTTCGCTCCCGGCTTCTGCGCCCACGTCCGATAGCGTGTCGGTTCGGTGCAGCACTCCTCGCTCCTCGTCATCGGCATCCTGCCCGCGGCCCACATTGGCATTCGCTATTGTTGCTGTTGCTGCCGCCGTTTCTGTTGTAGCCGAGTCTGACGTTGCTCGGTTGGTGGTGGTGTTCGTTGCGCCTCCTCCTCCACCAGCTGCCAGCTTTGCTAGCTTCTTCTTAAGCTCCCGCCTCTTTACATGCACTGACACCATGACGAGCTGCAGGAACAGTATGCATATATCGAGCGCGCCCAGTTTCCACTTGCTCGTGGGGCCCTGCTGACCGATGAAGTCAATCATCAACCCGCCATGAAGATAGCCTCGTGTGTCCTCGCCAGCTGCAGGTGCCGGGTAGGTGAGATGCAGGAGAAAGGTTACGCCAAAGGAAAAGAGGAGCAGCGGAAGGAACGGCTTGGGTTCGTCTGGCGGCCGGGTAACCGTCACGGTGTCGGGAATCGGGGTAAGCAGCGTGCCGTGGATAAAGGCCTTGAATGCCAGCCAAAAGAATGAGCAACTACAGTGTGTATGTGGTCAGCGGCACAGTTGCAGCGCATCACCGTCGGGGCGCATACTCGAGATGGTAGAGAGTAATAAGTTCCACGTAGACAACCATGTCCAGGTCACGCAGCAGCTCGCCCAGCATCTGGATGCGCTTCCTCTTTGCATCCATCCGCCTCTGTTGCACCTGTTTCTCTCTTTCACGCTCCTCGGCTGCATCGAGTCGAGCTATTGCATCTTCCAGGGCCTCCAGGGCCGCCAAACTGGGCGCGCTGTCGTCATGGCGCTGCGGTGCGCGAGACGACTCGGCCTCATCGTCCATGGCGCAGCGAGGGAATTTGGCGTGTCGCTTCGTCTCTCATTGAAGGCGACGGGTGTAAGTGACAGGCGGAGTTGACGAGCGTTTGTCCTCGAACTCTGGGGGGGACCTGAGAGGCTCTTGTCTCCTCTAGGCCGCAACCCGCATCGGTGCTGGAAAATCAAGAAGGGCCGATGGCCGAGAGTGGTGAGATAATCGATTGCTCCGCATCTTGAACCAAGTTACAATCTACTGCAGTAGCCTACCAGTGTCTCTAGAGCTTCTCTTCAGTATTAAATTGAGCCTGGAGTCTCTGATTCATAAAGAAAAGCGCCAAAAATTCATGTAAAAATTACCAACTTGCTCTCATCGACCCACGCGACTTGTCCGCCACCTCCGCATTTGCATCTTGCGCCCACCATGTCTTTTGGTCCTCCCAACAGCGCGCCCCTCCCCTCTTCCTTTGACGAAAATGAGTGAGTATCTACTATCTCTCAATTGATTCGGCGACATACATGCATCTGAAGTCTCAATTGCTTACATCTGTACCAGGGACTTCTACAACGAAAACACCATCGACAAGATATGGCGCCGTCTCCGCGAAGAGCCCCTCGTGCCCCTCGGCTGTGGCCTCACCGTCTGGGCCATTGTGGGCGCAACCCGCTCCATGCGCAAGGGCGACCACAAAATGACAAACGTCTACTTCCGCCGCCGTCTCTACGCACAAGCATTCACCATTGCCGTATTAGTCGCAGGAAACTTGTACTGGCAAAAGGACCGTGTCAAGCGCAAGGACTATGAGAAGAAGGTTGCAGAGAAGGAGCGCATGGAAAAGAGGGAGCGATGGCTGAGAGAGCTTGAGATGCGAGACGAGGAGGACAAGGCATGGAAGGAGCGAATGGCTAAGAGGGCTCGAGGCGCGGCTGAGGAGGTTAAGAGCGAGGCAAGGGGAGTTACGGATATGGTTGCTGAGAAGACGAGGGAGCTCAAGGACAAGACTATGGGAAAATAAGAGGCGGGTGTAATCTGATAGACCAGCTCTACGAGATGAGGGGTCAAGGGAAATCCATGTGAAGAACCGCGTTTGGAAGTTGGGCATTCTTGAAAGCTTGGACTTTTGCTGTATATGTATTGGGCACTGTACGAGTACA